AAGAAAAATAACTATTTTCATATTCTTATCAGAAAAAATCAAATGTGTTCCTAAACATGTTTAACCATGATATTCCACCCATATTATCCATGTAGAAAAATAACTATACTTTTAATTATTTCAGCAATAGGTCAAATATGGTCCTTGACATGTGTATTCACAATAATCCATCCATAATCCCATGTAGAAAAATTATATGCATTTGCTTATCCAAAATAGGTTAAGAGTTATCATGATATTCCCCCCATAATCTCCTTATAGAAAAGTAATTTTACCCACATTTATTTCTTAAAAGGTGAAATTTAATTTGTATGGGATGTGCAACCATTATATTCCAGCCATAATCCCCATGCAGATCAATATTGTTAGCAGAAATGCATTCTTTTTTTACTTGGCATTTGTAGTTTTTAATCTTAATTCTTAAACATCATTTTCCAGGTTTCTAATAAAACAGTTCAAAATGTAGTGCTTTACACATACATGTGCTGTATGAAATCAGTAAATCTATTCCTATTAATACTGTATATTGAGTAATGTTTCCATTATTTCTGTATAATTTACTATGATGCCATTTTTCAGCTGCACATATCAGTAAGTGAAGAGTTAAACATTAACCACTACTACTTGCAACATAGTATCAAGCACTGCTGAAAAGAAAAACATGTTGTGTAACAACAAAATCATTACCATATGTGTGTGTAAAAATATACTGACATATAATGAGAGTGTTGAGCATTGCATCCAATCATCCCAATATGCAGTTTAGTATATCCCTTTATGGACTGACAGCTAGTATTATATTATCACTGGTTTATTTTTAGTGCTACACTTTTAAATGTATGGTGATTGCTACAGTATCTCCTAGAAGTGAGTAGAGCCCTCACATTTTTGTAAATATTTTATTCAATCTTTTCATGTGACAACACTGAAGAAATGACACTTTGCTACATGTAAAGTAGTGAGTGTACAGTTTGTAGAACAGTGTAAATTTGCTGTCCTCTCAAAATAACACACAGCCATTAATGTGTAAACCTCTGGGAACAAAAGTGAGTCCACCCCTAAGTGAAAATGTCCAAATTGGACCCAGAGGCCCTCATTCACTATTGGGCGTGGGCGCATATTCATGGGCTTAAGCCCAATTTTCATGGGCGTCCGTCATTTTTTACCCTGCAACCTAATTCACTATTGACCAGAGCCCATAAGCAGATGCCCAATCTAATTCACAAAAAGACACACGCCTGGAATCAGACTCACAAAGCAGACTTGCTAAGAAGCACGTCTAACACCATGAAAAATCACTGCAGAGACATGTTCACTTAGAAATTTGCTTTGCCAAATATCAGGACTTCACTTTAAACAATATCTGCTATTTCCAAAAAAATTAGGAATGTGTTAAAAATAGTTTTTTTCAAGGAAATCGACACAGTAAAAATCTAGACGCCCGTGCAGTGTCTTTGGCAGATAGAACTGAGCATGTGCAGAACACATTTTAGACTTCTGCCATGGGCGTTTGTTTTTTAGCCACTGACTAATAGTGAATCTTACTGTGGATTCCTCTGACAGCCGACACTCGGTCGTGACTATTGTGTTTAATAAACAGCACTCGGCATATCTTCATGTAATCTAATTAGATTTCCTTAGTTCTAGTGATTCTATTTTTGTTTTATACTTTATAATTATTTCTGTAATGATTTTACTGATTTTGAAGGTCTAGATAATATTTATTTTGACAGCTGAATGTAAAAATAAAGGTCCGCAATAAAAAAAAAAAAAAAAAAACAGCGTGGGTCCCCCCTCTCATCCATACCAAGCCCTTCAGGTCTGGTATGGATATTAAGGGGGAACTCCACGCTGAAATTTAAAAAAAAAAACAGCGCGGGTCCCCCTCAATATCCATACCAGACCCTTATCCGAGCATGCAGCCCGGCAGGTCAGGAAAGGGGACGAGCGAGCGCCCAACCCCCCCCCCCCCCCCCCCCCCCCCGAACCATACCAGGCCACATGCCCTCAACATGGGGGGGTGCTTTGAGGCGGGGGGGCTCCCCCCCCAAAGAACCTTGTCCCCATGTTGATGAGGACAAGTGCCTCTTCCCCACAACCCTGGCCGGTGGTTGTGGGGGTCTGCGGGCGGGGGGCTTATCAGAATCTGGAAGCCCCCTTTAACAAGGGGGCCCCCAGATCCTGCCCCCCCCTACGTGAAGGAGTCTGCGGTACACGGTCCGAAGACTCATTCACAAAAAAAAACTAAGGGTGGTGTAAAAAAAAAACACAGTACAGGGTCTTTGACAAGTCCTTTATTAAAACAATGTCCCCCGAAGTAGATCCAACGTCAATCGCGGCGGCAGCGACCCGAAAAAAGGAAAAAAAAAAAAAAGTTCCGCTCCCGTCCGAGGCTTCCAGCCTTGTGAAGAAAAGGCTAGATGACATTTCTTATATAGGTATGGGGCGGGGCCAGCCGGGGACATCATCCCAGTGACCCGCCCCATGTCACATGCTTGCTGTCTAATTGTATCTAATCCTATCTAATTGTAGTCTTGTGGGAATCATTGGGAGAATGTTTATATAACAATGGTTAGTGGTAAGAGGTGAAAGTCCTGTAAGACTTACAAAAAACTATTCCAGTTAAGGCAGAAACATTGCTACATCTCAAATCTGTTAGAACGTTAACATTTTTATATTACAGTTTAGTAAAGGAAACCAAAGATTAGACAATTACATCATGCTGGTACCTGCAGGGGTAGTGTCTTCTTTAACCTGTTCCAGACAGCTTTATGCAGCCATTGGCAAGACGACTTTAACAAAGAGCTGCCGTATATATGTGTCTATTGGGAATGGCTGTTCTGTGCTGGTAGTGCACTCACAAACTAGTAAATAAAACCGGCCATGAATTGAAATTTGCCTGGTTTAGCAGGGACTGGTCAAATTTTGATCCATGTATGGCTAGGGTGGTTGTACAAAAGTCGATCTCTACTGATTGGCTTCTGTGCAACCACCTTGTTGGATTTAATGCTGCTTGATCAGTGCCGCTGACTATAGCCAGCAGTGTTTATAAGTGTATTCGACGGCAGGGAGACGTCACGGTACAATAGCTCAGTAGGGAGCATTTCCTCATCCACCTCAAATGTCTGGATGGGGGAACCAAGTCATATGGTTGAACGACAAAAAAAAATTGCTTCTCTATTAAATGTCACGAGCAGCTCCCAATGCATACTTGGAATCTGGAACTTCAGATCATGTGACTGCTGAGAACGCCGATCACAGTGGTCACAAGATCTGAAAGCTCACCTCCACTTCCAGGTATTTAGAGATCCTCTCAAAAGCCTTGGCGGTGGCGAAGGGTAATAACTCTTCAACCAACTGTTTCTATAGAATTAATAGAGCATCTTCCACTGTAAAATATGCCTTCCTTCAGCTTCACTTGGCAAATTAGCTGCACTCAAAGTCATTTTTCCCCACTACTTTTTTATCGTCTACTTCATACTGGCAGGTTTTCACAGGAGTGTTTAGGAGTATTTAAAAAAATATCAATGTGCTCCAATTGTAGAGGAAATCATGAAAACAGTATTTATACAATAAAGAGGATGCACCGAAAGTTCAGAAGACAAAACATACCGGCTGAAAATAGCCCTATCAGCATTTTTCCGATAGGAAAAAGTGAGCCGATACAGGTGTGCCCCGATAATGAGACCCAGCCCCAATGACAGGCAAACTGACTGTTTGGGTGGGGGGCCTTAGTGTACCACAGATGGGGATGGGGGTGGGAGAGAAAAGCAGGAGGGGAGGTAAGCAAGCAGTATATACAGTGAAGGAGCAGTGTATACAGACAGGCTCCCTCACTTGCCACCACTAAATATCATTGCTGGTTTTTAAATACAATTACTGGCTTTTTTTTTTACTTTAGCTCTGAGCAGGAGCTGTTAAAGCTGCTGCTAAAGTAAAGCGGTGGGGGTCACCCAGTGACCCCGTCCCTTTGTTTACTTTAGCAGCAAGGCAAATATATAACTCTGAAAAGGAGCTGTCAAAGTGAAAAAAAAAAGCAGGCATTTAAAAAACGGCAATGACATTTAGCAGCAGCAAATGAGCGAACCTGTCTGTATACACTGCTCCTCTCCTTCCTCCTCCTTGCACACACTTCCCCTCCCCCCACCTCTACAAAGAGGACCTGTCACTTATATGCTATCACATAGGGGACTATTGCCCCCCTATGTGATAGCACTAAATCAGAAGTTTAAAAAAGTAAATAAAAACATTAAAATAAAAAAAAAAAAAAATTAAAAAATTGCACCTCCCCACTCCCACATAAGTAGACTTTTCGGTTTTCAGCCAAGTGCATCCTGAATTTTCAGTTTTGGCACCAGAATTTTCATTTCAGTGCACCACTAATAAAGACCAAGAGGATGACTTAAAACTTAACAGCTATTTTTTTCCCAGATATTGGCTGACATTTCTGTACAGGGAAGCTTATCCATATCTCACTCACATGGATAAATCATATTTTTTTTCAACCAAATGTATAATGGGTTTCCACAGATAACAGACAAATTCAACCAGAATAATTAACAAAGACACTTCTTTTAGTTAACCCAGTGCTCATTTTAATATAAAATAAACCAGCTTACATCTTCACAGTAAATATAGGCTATATACATTTGCATGTAGAAAGCTCCATTCTAAGCCGGCTACATACAGAACTATGGTTGCCTGAACCATTTTTATTCTTTTCAGTGCATTTCTTAACGAAAATGCATTTTTGTAACCTTTTGTAATGGGAATAAATATAGAACACGAAGATCTTTCAAACAGTTAAAAAACCTAGATCTTGAAATTGATTTGTGCTAAAAAATAAAAATAAAAACTAGAACAGAAAGGAAAAAAGGCAAAATATTCTTCTTGTCAGACACGGGAAAAAATAGGAGGAGTGTGCCTGCCACAGGCAGGGAATGAAAAGCAGCGTACAGCCCCACTAGGTGAGGCAACTGAGACGCTAGTAATTTAGCCCTTTAACCCTTAACGGTAATCTTATTCTCTGCTGCAGCAAACATGGAGAAGAATCGAGTGTTCTCATTGGACAGCAAGGCAGACGGTGTGTCGAACTCCGTGACCTGCAACAACCAATTTCATTACATTAGAAAAAACATTCTATATATTATATTTTAGCTTTTTAGTCATAAATTCATAATAAACCTGAAAATAGCTATAATGAAGAAAAATAAGAATTGTGCTGCATCCCTTAATACTCAAGTGGAGCTCCAGACAACTATAAAAACTCATTCTCTGGTCTTATGTAATAATTAAAAACAAATACCCCCCCCCCCCCCCAAAGAAAACAAAAACAATCTATGGCTTATTCACACTGATGTACTTGGGGAAAAAAAACAAAACAAAAACACTAGAAGAGAAGCTTCAAAAACATCTAAAAGCACACATTTTTTTAAACTTAACAAGATGAAATTGCCTATATTTCTTTTATTGTAGGTTGGTGTACAAAGCTCTGGGGTTTAGAATAAACACCAAAAAGACCTGCTTACCCCCTGGGCTATACCCCTTAGCTAGGCACTAGATTTGTATAGTGTATATTAGGGGACAGACACTACTATGTATTCATAGTACATTAAACATATATTTTTACTGTTAGTAATTAACTAAAATCTATCCAAAATATTTAATATCCCCTGTATGCCAAAAATCAAGAAACACCAACTAATAAAGCATTTGATAACTTTTGTGTTATATTTAAAAGATGCAATTCTAGAAAGAGTGGTGTCTTGGTAGCGCAGAGAAGACCTAGCTAGTGTGGTTATGTCCATTTATGCATGATGGGGATTGGGAGGTAATAAAAGAAGCTGCAACAGTGAAGACATGTTTGACCTATCTGGTTGTACATTAGAGCATGGTTATATAAATTATAAAAAAGTTACTACAACCAAAGAAAGATATTTGGCAAATCAATAATTTCATATTTTATATATTTCAACTGTGCATTTAGCTGATAGGTTGGAATTCCAACTAAAGTTATAAAGATGATGGGCATACATCATGACGACAGATCTATGCCAAGACAATATGTCACCCCAAATATTTTGAGGCAACACATTACCTTTAAATGGTCTGACCTTACCCTAAATTAAATTAGCACCTGTTGTTTTGAAATGCTTTGAAGTATTAAACTCTGGGGGCATACAGTATACATAGCACTGGCTATTTTTAGCACATACAGTACCTTGAAAAAGAATTAATACCTCTTGAAATTTTCCACATTTTGTCATGTTACAATCAAAAACATAAATGTATTTTATCGGGAGTTTATGTGATAGACCAACACAAAGTGGCACATAATTGTGAAGTGGAAGGAAAATGATAAATGGTTTTCAAAATTTATTTACAAATAAATATCTGAAAAGTGTGGCATGCATTTGTATTCAGCCCCCCTGAGTCAATACTTTGTAGAACGAACGTTCGCTGCCAATTACAGCTGCAAGTCTTTTGGGGGATGTCTCTACCAGCTTTGCACATCTAGGGACATTTTTGCCCATGTTCTTCTTTGCAAAATAGCTCAAGCTCTGTCAGATTGGATGGAGAGCATCTGTGAGCAGCAATTTTCAATTCTTGCCACAGATTCTCAATTGGATTTAGGTCTGGACTTGGACTGGGCCATTCTAACACATGAATATGCTTTGATCTAAACCATTTCATTGTAGCTCTGGCAGTATGTTTAGGATCTTTGTCCTGCTGGAAAGGTGGAACCTCCACCAGAGTCAAGTCTTTTGCAGATTAGACAGGTTTTCTTCTAAGATTGCTCTGCAATTGGCTCCATCCATCTTCCCATCAACTCTGACCAGCTTCCCTGTCCCTGATGAGGAAAAGCATCCCCACAACATGATGCTGCCACCATCATGTTTCAAAGTGGGGATGGTGTGTTTAGGGTGATGTGCACGTGCTAATTTTTTCGCCACACACAGTGTTTTGCGTTTAGGCCAAAAAGTTCAATTTTGGTCTCATCTGACTAGAGCACCTTCTTTGACATGTTTGCTGTGCCCCCCAAATGGTTTTTGGCAAGGTGCAAATGGGACTTCTTATGGCTTTCTTTGAACAATGCCTTTCTTTTTGCCACTCTTCCATAAAGGCCAGATTTGTGTAGTACACGACTAATAGTTGTCCTGTGGACAGATTCTCCCATCTGAGCTGTGGATCTCTGCAGCTCCTCAAGAGTTACCATGGGCTTCTTGGCTGCTTCTCTGATTAATGCTCTCCTTGCTCGGTCTGTTAGATTAGGTGCACAGCCATGTCTTGGTAGAATTGCAGTTGTGCCATATTCTTTCCATTTTCAGCCTGTTAGATTAGGTGCACAGCCATGTCTTGGTAGATTTGCAGTTGTGCCATATTCTTTCCATTTTGGGATAATGGATTGAACATTGCTTCGTGAGATGTTCAAAGCTTGGGATATTTTTTTTTGTAACCTAACCCTGTTTTAAACTTCTCCACAACTTTATCCCTGGCCTGTCTGGTGTGTTCCTTGGCCTTCATGATGCTGTTTGCTCACTAATGTTCTCTAACAAACCTCTGAGGACTTCACAGAACAGCTGTATTTATACTGAGATTAAATTACACACAGGTGGAATCTATTTACTAATTAGGTGACTTCTGAAGGCAATTGGTTCCACCAAATTTGTAGTTAGGGGTATCAGAGTAAAGAGGGCGGAATACAAATGCACGCCGCACTTTTCAGATATAGACTTGTAAACATTTTTTGAAAAACATTTATCATTTTCATTCCATTTCACAATTATGTGCCACTTTGTGTTCGTCTATCACATAAAATCCCAATAAAATACATTTACATTTTTGGTTGTAACATGACAAAATGTGGAAAATGTCAAGGGGTATGAATACTTTTTCATGGCACTGTATAGTATTTGTCCATCACATCAATATAAAAGCCTCAAATCACAGTCATACATGGACTGTCCAGGCTTTCTTCACGGGTCTGACCTATAATCTTATGTTCACTTTGGTAACCTATTATGACAGATCAGGATTAGTGGGATGTCAGTGTTCTATTGGTGCACATAAAAATATCAGGAGAACTTTAAAACATTTTGCACAGATTTCTATTGAATATTACCATAAAACTTCCTGTTTGTTTTCAGTGGTTATGGGGCCCTCTGGAGCAGTGGCGGGTGTTTAGATGCCTATGATCTGCTTTAACCCTTTCGCTGCCAGGTCTCTGACAGTGGGGGGGTTTTACACATATTGTGTCATATTGTGTGTAAATCTGACAAGCAGACTCCTGCCTGTCAGATGGAAGCATTGAGGCAGCTGCGCTGCTGCACGATTGTTCCCACACACCCCTGGTAATGGCGAACCCCCCACCCGCATGTGTGCCCCCACCATGTATCATGGGCTCCACTTGCCCATCTGCGGGCCAGGGACTGACATAGCGGCTGCTGCTGGGTAGAGGGGAGGGAGCAGATGAGACTTGTGTCCGCTCTCTTCCCCTCCTTGTTGCTTACCGGAAAATCTATGTGTAAAACATCACCTCCGGGTCCCCCTGTCAGTGTCCCCAGCTAGCATGACCAGGAAAGAATATATTGTAATGCGATCTGCATTGCACTACATTCACAGGGGAGATATCCAGGGTCTTTTAGACCCTTTTAGACAGTTACCGGTCACCAAAAAATCATCACATAGAGGACTTTTTGTCCCCTATGTGATTGAAAAAAAAACCATTAAGTAAAAAAACTTGTTTTTTAACTTGTAAAAAATTAAAGTTACACCCAAGCATATAAAATCCCCCACCCCACATATACGAACGTAAACACATGTGCCGGGGGCGACAATGCATGAAGACGCCAATTGCGATACACGTTACATATTACCACACGCCGGCAAGCAATATTTCTAGAACCAGACATCCCCTGTAATGCTAAACTGATGATCTAGGGTACTTTTAAAGTGTCGCCTATGGAAAATATAGGGTACCGAAGTTTGTCGCCTTTTCACAAGTTCATGCAAATGTAAAGTTTGACATATTGGGTATTTACTGCAACCTCATAATTCATATTTAAAACCTTTACCTTTGTGGCAATATGGCGTGACACAGAAAATTGGAATTACAACTATTTTATTCTCTAGGGCGTCTGCTTTCAGAAAATAGATAATGTTTGTAAAGTTTTATGTAATCTTCAGGCCTAAAAATTTTTTTAAGCTTGTGTGCAAAAACAGCTCTGGCAGTGAAAGAGTTAAAAGATCTGAGTGATTATGGAATATGCAGCACCAAGACTGTTAATTAGGTTGTGTAAAGTAGAAATGTCTGAGGTATCTCTTATTCAACAGACATGATTTATTTAACAGTAGTGTTTCACAAAACAAAACACCATCAAATTCTGATAGGATGAGTAATTCATCCGACTTGAGTTATTATATCTGGGGCAAACTGACCTACACCTATCAGGCAATAGCTTCTTTCTTCAGAATTTAGTTACAATGTTGCTTTGTGCATCACAGATGTTGTATACTCACCTGTCCCTGTGTTAGCACCATTATACGGTCAGACCCAAGAACAGTGTGGAGTCGGTGAGCAATAGTCAACATTGTGCAGTCTGAAAAGGCCTCTCTAATAGTTTCCTGGATCAAAAGGTCAGTCTCTGGGTCCATAGCAGCTGTGGCTTCATCAAGAATTAGAATCTAAAATAGAAAAAAAAAACAAAGTTATTTCTTATTTAAGAGAACACAGTAAAACCCAGCAATCATATTGTCCTAAGCAGCTATATCCACCCAATGTAACTTCGGAAGGTAGTTTGCTGCACCAGAACTTCAGGCTTAGGTGTGCATATTTACATTAATCCACCATGGACCAAAGTAAATATGTGTCATACCTATCCAATCCCAGTGGAAGCGGGAAATCACTAATAGGCACTGCATTCACACTTTTTGCTGTGAAACCTCCACTCACATAATAAGAAACTCAAAAGCAAACAAAATCGGATACCATCTGTGTTCCTTGGATTATGCTATGCACTTTAACCACTTTACTGGAAGATGTTACCCCCTTCACCACCAGGCCAATTTTTTTTTTTGCTATTCAGCACTGAGCTACTTTAACTGACAATTGCGCAGTCATGCAACACTGTACCCAATGAAATTTACATAATTTTTTCACACAAAGAACTTTTGGTGGCATTTGATCCCCATTGGGGTTTTTTTTATTATTATTATTATATAAACGAAAAAAGACAAAATTTTCGAAAAAAATAAATTTTTTTTTGCTTTCTGCTATATAACAAAATTTCTTCAGAAATTTAGGCCAAAATGTATTCTGTTACAAGTCTTTGGAAAAAAAAATCCTTATAAGCGTATATTAAATTGCAGACACTATATCTTTCACGCAAACCAAACTATGGGATATATACTGGAATTTTTTTTTTTTTTTTAAAGTAGTAATGGCAGCGATCAGTGACTTACAGTGGGAATTTGATAGTGCGGCAGGCAATCAGACACTGACACATCACCAGTTACACTAATACAGTGATCAGTGCTAATATACACTGACACTGTACTAATGACACTGGCTAGGAAGGGGTTAATATCAAGGTGCAATCAAAGGGTTAACTGTGTGCTGATTTTACTAAGGGATGTGACGTTTTTATTTCCTGCTTTGCAGGAGGACAAAAAATTAGGCACATCACCAATGTCAGCAGAGAGCTCTGTGTTGTTTACGAACACAGAGATCTCTCCTGTCATTCACCTCCGCCATAAGTCATTGACTGGGACCTGGTGATCAGTGACCTGGCAGCCAGTGACAGCACTGCAGGGGAGGAGCACCCACGCGCTCCTGACCTGGAAACGTCATATAAAACACGATTCTGTGCAGCTGGGCCCACACAGTAGCAGTAAATCTACAATGCGCAGTCAGCAAGCAATTAAACTCTATAACTTTATATATGTTTTGCCATTGGTGGAATGTATACATTTTTTGCACCAATGGAGGACACAGCATTGTTTGTAACAATGCTGCCCCTATAACAGGTTATAGCAAATTGTTTGTGTGAATGGACCCCACGTTAAAGAGAATAACACACGAACACGGTTTTAATGTATACTTATTACCTTACAAACCCTTTAATAACAGTTTGTTTACATGCTTATGTAACAAAATGCTCAAAGGGTGAATACAGCTTACAAAATGTTGAAAGGAAATAGACCCGATTTGGCATTCAGTTGAGAAGTGTGTGGGTTCAGCGGTATTTAGTGAAGAGTTGGTGGATGATTAACAGGTAAAGGGGATTAAAAAGCAAGTATTAGAGGGCCAGTAGGTGGCTAGAGGATTAATATGGGTGCAGGAAGGGGGAAATAACAGAGCAGTATGGGGTGGTAAGAAGTATAGCAGCCTCCACAGCACACAAAATGCGCAGGTCCACCTCAAGCTATGACAAAGGCAATTCATCTCACAAATGCCCAGTGGTGTGTGTATATCCACATGCATGCAGTGTGTTGTCACTTGTGCTCCCAGATGCTTCGGCGCTCTACAATGCTTAGATTAACCTCCCTAGCGGTCTGATTATGTCCATATATCTGTGCTCAAAGCGGTACATTTTTTTTGCATGGAAATATGTTTTTTTTTTTTATTGTAGGCCTGTAATGTTTAGGAATAACTCACTGAAATCTGTTCCAACAAGAGTCTAGTAAACATTCTGGGTATGTTACAATTTGAAACACGAAATCATAATTTAATAAATAATCATAAAAAAATAATAATATAATAATAAATTTAATTCAATAATATAATCAAACCAAAAACATTGCAATTTGAAATAGAGCGCCAAGTTCGCATATCACTGAGCAAAGTCGCAAAATCGTTTTCAGTGTCTGATGACGAATTTCCCCACGAATCATTATCACTCAATTCTGCAAGTGGTTCTGATTTACTATCGCTGTTCTATAGCTGGTCTAAAACCGCTTTTGACCTAAAGGGACGCTTTTTGGACACCATGGACATTTCTCAGTTTCCAGGCAGAAAGAACAGTAAAAATGCAGGCAGGGCACAGGACAAAGCACTCGGGACAAAATGTATGTGAAATGGTTTGATACAGTAATGTTTTACTATGTGATTTTAGCGTATTTAGTGAATGTCACTTTTTGTCATTTTCAAATTTCCTGCCGTTCCGTCCCCGTACATCCCGACGTCGCAGGGGACAGAACCCAGAAGACAGATGCCGGCATCGGCCGGAGTACATTGCCGGGGACACTGCAGGAGGGACATCGCAGGAGCGCAGGACAAGGTAAGTGAAGAACAGATCCGGGAGCAGCGCCGCATGGTAAGCCCAAGTGTAGCTCAGGGTTACCGCTTGTGGTACTGAAACTTTACCCCGAGCTACACTCGGGAATACCGCCAAGGAGGTTAATTTGACGGAGAGATCTTGCACAGGAGTGTTAGGAGTTGTAGTGTAGAGCCACTACAGTGAACGCACAACTCCCATTGCTAAATTTCTGATATCACAATATGGTGGGAGATAAAAGATCAGTATATTTATATTATTAGTGTGCACTTACCTTACATCGCCGTAATAAAGCCCGTGCAATGCACATCAACTGTCGCTCTCCTACTGAGAAGTTTTCCCCATTCTCCAAAACTTCAGTTTCAAGTTTAAGAGGTAGCTGACTCACCTAATATAAAATAATCAGAAAAGAAAAATTAGATGTATGTATGTATGTATGTATGTATGTATGCTATTATATCTATTTATATATAACGAATAGACATTTGGTCATAAATACAAGTATGCATCTAAGATTCACACTCCTCATATTATTCTCATGGCAAATAAAGAGAATCTATGTGCTTTGCATGACAAAGCTACACATTCACTTTAATGGTAGCCAAATCCTCTTCTGCTGCTTAGTTTGGTCACTGGAAACTCTGTGTAAGCTTGGTTTGTGTGTGGCCATAAAAAACAAAAATAAATAGGATTTTCATACTTACTGTAAAATCCTCTTCTAGGAGTCCTTCTTGCCCATTGATGGACACAGCCCCCTATTAAATAGAGGAATCGGCCAACACGAACAGAGATGACACACAGAATCAACCAGATGTTCAAGACCAGGATATCCAAGATCAACGAGCACTAAACCAGAACCGGTGCATAGCTAAGCAACCAAAACCCACCAGAACTGATGGAACAACAAACTCCGGAGTAGGAAAGAAAAGTCCCACAACAACCAGATGTAGTCAATAGAAAATGCTGAAGTACAGCTGCCAAAGGGGAACCAAAGACAAAAAAAAAAAAAAAAAAAAAACAGGTCTAAACAAGAAAGACCAGACGGTCTACATGTGAAGGCCCAAAGCCTTGCACCCCTACCCCTTAAGGTTAAGGTGATGGAACTCTGAAAAATGTGTGGTACACCAGAGCATTTATGGTATTAGCACAATAAAGCAGCCAAGGGGGTATTAAGTGACTCCTTTGACCGTGCAAAAACTTGATCCCACAAAGCTGACCTGACTAAAGGTGTAGGGTGTGTGAGCGACACATCCACAAGGGAGGGCAGGAGTGGAGTTTAGATCACACAATCCGAGAGTGGTGAGATGCGAAACCACTGAAGTAAGGCACAGAGGATAAATGTTAACAAAATCCATAACACCCAGAGGTGTCGCTGTGGAACCTGAGCATAAGCCATGGACTAAGAAGCTCCTGATTCTCCTTCCGTCAGAACTGCTAAGAAAGCATAATCGATAGAGAGAAGAATAAAGGAAGACATCTGAAGATCCTCTCTCAAGTGCCTGTGACTTAGTCTTGGCTGTGCTGTTCCCCTTTAAAATGATCTAAGGTCCATAGCTCTGTCCACAACATGAACCAAGCTACCTGCTGACTCCCTGTCATCTGCACACTGCCCTACACACTACTGACTTCTGTGTACCATACCCTCCTGACCCCTATGCACTGTGCCCTCCTGATCTCCATGTACCATGACCTCCATGTTCCATGCCCTCCTGGCCCCAAAGTACTATGCCATCCTGACCTCTGTGTACCCTGACCTCAGTGCGCTATGCCTTCCAGACCCTCAGTAACATGCCCTCCTTAACCCCAGTACCATGCACTCTTGACCACTGTGTACCCTGACCTCAGTGCACTGTGCTCTCTTGACCCCCAGTAAACTGACCTCTATGTACTGTGCCTTCCTGACCCCCAGTGCCATGCCATCCTGACCTCTGTGTACCCTGACGTTAGTGCAGCATGCCTTCCAGACCCTCAGTACCATGCCCTCCTTAACCCCAGTACCATGCACTCCTGACCTTTGTGTGTCCTGACCTCAGTGCACTGTGCCCTCCTGACCCCCAGTACCATGCCCTTCTGACCTCCGTGCACTGTGCCCTTCTAACTCCCAGTACCATGACCTACCGAGCCCTGTACACTGTCCCTACCTGCCGCTGACCTCTGTACACTGCCCTACATGCCGCTGACCTCTGTACACTGCTCTACATGCCGCTGACCTCTGTACACTGCTCTACATGCCGCTGACCTCTGTACACTGCTCTACATGCCGCTGACCTCTGTACACTGCTACATGCCGCTGACCTCTGTACACTGCTCTACATACCGCTGACCTCTGTACACTGCTCTACCTACTACTGACCCTTGGACACTGTCCTACATACTACTTACACTGGTGAGAACTAGCAGCACAGAGCCAGGCTAGCATTGGTGTAATGGAAATGTATTTGCAGCTGTAAGGGCTCTGAAACAGCAAGGCTGAAGACCGCATTCTAATCCCAGAGAGGTATAGTACGTAGCTCCTCAGTAAGGACCAAAAAGGTCTCTTGTATGTTTGAGGTGATGGCAGAAAACAGATTCCTCAAAACCAACCTAATCAGGAACAGATTAAGGAGACCCTGATATAGTAAACTTGTCGCTGAGTTATTCACTTTCAGGTCATTACAGAGGACAAGGAGGGATTGAAAAAGTGGACAGAGACTCCCTCAAGAACTAGTGAGTTCAGAAGAATGGTTTTAAAAAAAGAGCTAGATGCATTTCTAAATGCATAAAATATAACAGGACATGAACATTTATAGGTAATAACACCAGGAGTAGTTGATCCAGAGAAAATCTGATTGCCTCCTGGGGGATAAGGAAGGAATTTTTTCCCCTGTTGGAACAAACTGGATCCTGCTATATATATGGTGTTTTTTTGCTGGATCAGCTGTAGGTATAGAAATGTTCATAGGTTTTTTTTTTTCTCTACTGGTTGAACTAGATGGACTTATGTATTTTTTACAACTGATGTAAACTGGGGTAAGGGTGTCAGAACTGCTTGGTGTTTTGGAAAGAGCACAAACAAGGAAGGCGGCTAGAAAAAAGGCTTCAGAACAAGATACTTACACATTCTTTCATGTGTGTCCTTTCTAGGGAATCCCAGATCTGCTCCTCACTGTACTGGTTAAATGGATCCAGATTTGAGCTACAGATTAAAATATATACAATGTTAACACATATACACATCCCACCTATATCCTGTACAGACAACCCATATATATTTACACCCTGTTCCATATTATTATGCAAATTCTATTTAAGTGTCACAAAGAGTAAATATTTTGTTCTTCAGTTTAACTCATGGATGGCATTGTGTGTCAGGGCTCTTTTGATCACTGAAAACAATTTCAGACACCTGTGATAATTAGATTGGCAGGTGAGCCCAAATTAAGGAAAAACTACTAAAGGAGGGCGTTCCACATTATTAAGCAGAGCACCATTTTCAAGCAATATGGGGAAGAAAATGGATCTCTCTGCTGCCGAAAAGAGTGAAATAGTTCAATGCCTTGGACAAGGTATGAAAACATTAGATATTTCACGAAAACTTATGCGTGATCATCGCACTATTAAGAGATTTGTGGCTGATTCAGAGCACAGACAGGTTCGTGCAGATAAAAGGCACATTGAGGAAGATTTCTGCCAGATCCATGCATCGGATCAAGAGAGCAGCTGCTAAAATACCATTACATAGCAGCAAACAGATATTTGAAGCTGCTGGTGCCTCTGGAGTCCCACGGACATCAAGGTGTAGAGTCCTCCAGAGTCTTGCAACTGTGCATAAACCTTCTATTTGGCCACCACTAACCAATGCTCACAAGCAGAAATGGGTGCATTGGGCAGAAAAATACATGAAGACTAATTTTCAAACAGTCCTGTTCACGGAGGACATAATTTGCATAATAATTTGGAACACGGTGTATAAGCATCAAGTGCCCCTCTGCCCCCAAAATTCTTTGGGCTCAATTTGCTAAAAAATCGAATGCAAAATTTGAGTCATGTGACACATTTATTCGTAATATTAAATGCGATATTGAAAATCTCAAATCACTTTAAGTTTATGCAGTATTTAACGCAAAAACACAAAATGCTAGGTAAATCAGGTATAAACGCCACATGTGATTTAACAAAATGTATTAACCACTTGCCTACTTGACGCTTTCACCCCCCTTCCTGCCCAGGCCAATTTTCAGCTTTCAGTGAATTTGAATTACAATTGCACGGTCATTCAACATTGTACACATGACATTTTTTTTTTCACACAAATAGAGCTTTCTTTTGGTATTTAATCGCTGCTGGTTTTTTTTTTTTGCACTATAAACAAAAAAAAAAAAGCAAAAATTTTGAAAAAAAAAGAAAACATTTTTTCTTTGCTTCTATTATAAAATTTATAAAACAGGTAAATTTTACAGTATGTAAAAAAAAAAAAAAAAATTGTGAAAACTTTTTTTTAATTTCTTTACTTTCTGAAAAATTATGTGAAAAAAATTACAACTTCAAAAAACTCGCCATGCTTCTTTTGAAATACGTCAGACTGTCTGCTTTGCAAAAAGGGGTCATTTGGGGATATCTGTACTGTTCTGACATTTCTGGGCCTCAAGAAATTTGATTGGCTGTCAGTACTTCAGGATTGATCAATTTTCAGATCTATACCATAGTTTGTGAACTCTATAACTTTCCTACAGACTAAATAATAAATACTGATTTGGGTTATTTTCACCAAATAAATATAGCAGAATACATCCCGGCCTAAATCTATGAAGAACAATTATTTATTTGCAAACTTTTATAACAGAAACAAAGAAAAACGTGTTTTTTTTTTCAACATTTTCGGTCTTCTTTTGTTAATTCAGCAGGTAATAAAAAACGCAGAGGTGATTAAATACCAGCAAAAGAAAGCTCTAGTTGTGTGCACAAAATGATAAAAATTTTGTTTGGGTACAGTGTTCCATGACCGCGTAGTTGTCATTCAAAGTGTGAGCGCTGAAACCTGAAAATTGGCCTCAGCAAGTAGGGGGTAAAAGTGCTCGGTATGGGTAAGTGGTTAAGGAATTATAAAACTTTTGGAAAAAATACCGCATGAGCTATTTTACCTGGGAATTTTAGTTGAACTTAAGTGAACTGAGCCGTTTATCACTTAAGCCATCACCTATTTAACGCGGTATTAAACCCAATACAAAAATGTTTATATTTTTCAGCTTTCCAATCAGATGCAGTGGTAGCGTTAGCTTTCTTTTTTTTCAGGCTTTTCCCCCCTCTGTTTTCACCTGGTGATATGGCCAGCAACACCTACTGTATTTGAGTACCTTCACTGTTGATGAAGCAGCACAGGGGCAGCTTTGGACAGCAGCACTGTTATCCTGGGGGAGGGGTAGTGTAAAGTCCAGTACTGACGTACCGAAAGTTGGCCGGTTAAGCAGGAATACCCAGCTTTAATTAGACTAGCATTAGCACTAGATTTAGATTTACTAACACATTAAAGCCAATCTCCAGCTCACGTTTTATAAGCACTTAAAGCAACAGCTTTTTCTTTTTGAAATTAAGGTTTTAAATAAATAGGTAAAAGCTAATCATTGTAAGCACCCCCTGCCAGCTGTAAATGGTTTGCTTCATCCCTCCAACTGCTACATTTGCAAGAGAGGTTGTTCTTTTGAAAAATAGACTCACAGGCCAGAGAACTACAGGGATGTTGAATTTCTATTGCCCGACACCCGGACATGCAATTCCAAGCGCCAGGCAGGTAGTTTTTTTTACGTTTAGCCTTGCTGCAGGCAAGCAGTAAGGCTTGTCAGGTAGAAACATTTGGGTGGCTGCGCTGCTGCCTGAATGCTTCTACACACGCCGGCAAAGTGCGCCACACGTCTGCTCTCCTACTCTTCTTGTTCCTGATCTGGAAGTGATAAATGACATCACTTCCGGGCCCCTATTGACAGTTGACAGAATGTAATACAGTACAATCTGTACTGCATCACATTCAGTGTAGCACAGGGGAGACATGCAGTTTTATTAAAGAGAACCTGTCACCATAAAAATCACATAGGGAACTTTTTGTCTCCTTTGTGATGAAAAAAAAAAGTAAAGGAAAAGTTATTGTTTTTTTTTAATTGTAAAAAAATAAAGTTACACCCAAGCACATAAAATCCCTCCCCCCAAAAAATGTTGAGGCCACCACACACACATAACGCATGTACAAATGTAAACATGCGCATCGTAGAGCTTATGAATGAAAACATCGACATGTTGCAGATTGTCGTGCACAGCCGGAGTGAAAGCAATAATTCTATCACCAGAACACCTCCGTAAAGCTAAACAGCTGACCTATAGAGAGCTTTTAAAATGTTGCCTATAGAAAAATATGAGGTACTGGTTTGTCGCCCATTTCACGAATGCACAAAAATTTAAGGTTTGATATGTTGGGTATCTATTCGGTGCAACCTCATCTTTTATATTTTACCAAAAAAAGTTGGGCAATTTATTGTGTTTTTTGTGCCATAAAATTAACTTTAGTGTATTTTACTGACATTTTGTGTTAAATAGACTTTTGCAGTAATATGTGACAAACAAATGGGACTATCACTATTTTATTCTCTAGAGCAGGGGTCTCCAAACTATGGTCCTGCAGCTGTTGAAGTACTACAAGTCCCATGCCTCTAGGAGTCTGCCTCATGGGACTTGCAGTTCCTCAACACCTGGAGGGTCCTAGTTTGCAGACCCCTGCTATAGAGTGTCGGATTTCAGAAATTACATAATGTAATCTTCAGGCCTAAAATTATTTTTTTAAACATGTGCGCAAGAAACACAAAAATCGCTCTGGCAATGAAAAGGTTAAAAGATAAGTTCACTTTGAAGAACATGTTACATATTCTACCAGTTTTTAGAGTGGAACATGTAATATGTTCCTGCTCCTGCAGTGGGTCGGTGATTCAAGCCCCCTGTGTGACAGCAGTACAGAGAGAAGTTCCTTGGCCTGCACGGCTGCGTCAATCATTAATTCTTTACAGATGTCTGCTTGTAGTTCTTAATGAACTACAACAGCGCTGCTGAATGCTCTGGTAGTTCATTGATTCTTCCTGCCATGGTGAAACTGCCTGCCTGTAGGATGTACGATATACAGGCAGACAGATTACACTGAAGGTCTGCAGGAGTCCTGCATTACACCTGCGATCTGCTGATGGCTGGTGCAATGCTTTCCAGGCCCCTAAAAAACAAAAAGGAAATGCTTATTATTTTATCTGCAAAAAAGGTGCATTTTTTTTTTTTGGTCGATAACAGATGGAACACCAGAGCTTGATTTGGCTGCTCAGCATGTGCTTCCGGTGTGGGGGTAAACCAGAAGGAATAAAGATTTGTTTTTCTTTCTCATTGGGGCCGGCGCTCCATTTACTCGCTCAGCAGGTGCGCTTCTGCTGAGTGTTAAGAGAGCTCAACACTCCCTGTTCCTGAGGAGCACCCAATCGGTGATCATCACATTGCAAGGTCTCTCCCCCTCCATGTTAGCCCCTGTGGTGTGGTGCTGGAGACAGGCAGGGAGAGGAGGAGATAAATAGCACAATGTTAAAAACATCAAGTTTGTGACCATAAATCCCCTTTAATTTTTAAAAGCCCCAGACATTCTTAAAAGCACCTCAAATTTAAATACAGTTTTGATTTTTTTTTTTTTTTCAATCAGGACAAGTAGACTGGGACCCCAATTTAGTCCCCTAGGACAAATTTTTTAATTTCTATTTCCACACCCCTGCACTAGGTGCAAGTGAAAAAAAAAAAACCTTAAAAAGAAAACTAAAATCGATCATTACATCTAAGTACTGGTAAGCTGCAACAAAACAACAGCAAATGTTATTGGGGCCAATATCGCTTTAACAAATCATGTGCGTTTTAAAGAATATGCCAGTTGATTCATATAAAATAACAGGGAAAAAATACCCACAAAAACCCAGGTGAATAAGCCCTTTATTTGTACCATAAATATAAGCATTACCCAAGCAGAAAAACTAAAAAAAAAAAAAAAGTCAAAACTTTTCTTTTTTCAAAAAAGTTCTTACCGGACAGTCCCACTGAATAGAACTGGTTCCTGGGGTATGATAGACAGTTTGCTTCGCAGATCTGCTAGGCCTATGTCACTGATTTTTACACCATCTATTTTAATACATCCACCTGAGAGCTCGACCAGTCTAAAAAGAGCCATGCCAAGGGAGCTCTTTCCTGCAAAAGGTGGAAACAAAACAAAACATAGATTTTACTAGTTGAGAATTAACTTTGTTACATTTAGACATATTTTGCATTTTGAAGACCAAATCACAAATGAAGAACGATTGCACACTCTATTTTCCTTTTTGCTTCTACTTCTTGACTCCCAAACTTACAAATCTAAAAGCAGAAAGGTGAGGCAATGCATGGACTTCAGAACTAAAATTTACAATAACTTACATTTAAACCTGTGAAAAATTTCTAGAACTGCTCTATTGAAGATATTGATTACACAGTAAAGCTGATTTCACCAGCCCACACACACAGAAAACAAAAAACCCCACATACTTCAGGTTAAATCACCAAACTAAAAATGATAAATATAGTTCAATAACCAAGGTGAACTACAGCATGTATCCAATGCATGAGCCTTTCAACTGATCCCACGTTTTAAGCCACTGTAATTTTATAAGATAACACGCTGCTAGACTTGTACATCTTATTAGACTGATTGGTTTCATTTTTCGCTTACTCACCTGATCCAGTTCTTCCCACAATTCCAATCTTTTCTTTGGGTTTTATGGTAAACGACACTTTCTTTAACACTAACGGCAGGTTTTCTCTATATCTCATTTCTGCACCTTCAAATGCCATTTCTCCCTCTTGAGGCCAATCAGCTGGAGGAGCCTTGTTCTTGATACGAGCGGGAGCCTCAAGAGCCAGAGTCTGCAAGTTGTTAGAAAGGTGAATTAGAGAATACGGAATAGAGCACATTCTTGCAGAGGACCTGCATTATTACTACAGTAACAGCAAAGTAGATCCAAGGAAGCACAAAAACTTGCTTAAAGACGTATACAAGTACATATGAACACATTACTAATTAATGCTGACTTCCCTAAATAATACGGAAATAGATGAGGCATTCATCAAAGTTGAGCTGTGGACTTAAGCGCAAATTGTTGTCCTACCCTCCCTCAAACCTCCATAGTTCTGGTCAGTTCCTTGGCTGCTCTGCTCCACTCCTGCAGAACCTGCTCTGTGTTTACATAAACAGTGATTAGAAGGTTGAAAGACTGCTGGTAAGAGGGAGCAGACCTGACCTTGACAACTTCTGCTGTGAACTTTGAAGAGGAATTGCTGTACAGTGCCTGTAGTTATAGATAATAGATACATGTGTTTGCAATGCATTAGTGATGTATTTTTGGCATGGGGAAGAACAAGACATTGGAAGGTTTTACCCTCTTCATGACCAGGCCATTTTTTGCCATTTGCTGTGCTACTTCAACTGGCAATCGCCCGGTCCTGCAACACTGTACCCAAATTAAATTTCTATAATTTTTTTTCACAAATAGAGATTTATTTTGCTTGTATTTTATCGTCACTGGGTTTTTTTTTTAAATTATATAAATGAAAAAAGAACGAACGTTTTTGGAAAAAAAAAAAAAAAAAAACTATGCCATTTTCTACTTTGTGTTATAAAACATATCTAATATAAAATCACATTTCTTCATAACATTAGGCCAAGCTGTATTCTACTACATGTCACTGGTGAAAAAAATGTCATTGGTAAAAAAAAAAAAAAAAAACTCCCAATAAGTGTATGTTAATTGATTTGCAAGAAAGTTATAGCATCTACAAATGACAGCATATATGGTATATTTGAAAATGTATCATTTCCGATTTACTGACTGCCCATCTCATTTCTTCGGGTCTTTAAAATCATAGGACAGCACATATTCCTCCAAAATGATCTCTTTTTGGAAAGCAGACAGTCTAAGGTATTTAGTAAGAGGCATGGCAAAATTTTTGAGGTTGTAGGTTTGAGGAACTATTTGTCACAATTAGTTTTTTTTTTTTTTTAAGCATACATCACCAGTGCAGTACAACGTCATCTAACTAATGATAGTATGCAAAAAAAAACGTTTTTAAAACTTTTTTTTTTTGTTTTTACAATTTTTTTTTACATACTTTCATGAGAGTAGTTCAGTGTCACTGTAGTAACACTACTAATCTAGGGAGGTGATCAGGGTTTTTTTTTTACACTTTGATTGCAATGTTTTGAACAGTCATGAATGGGTTACATTCATGAGAGCTGTGATTACTAGTGATCTGTGATTGACTGCAGTTAATTACATGGTACAGCATAATGTGATTGGCCCAGGTACCATGTTATAGCTGTGGGCCAATCACAACTCACTGGTATAGGAAGCAGAGCGGTTAAGAATGACATTCATTCATAACAGTTTTGTTAATATTACGATCATGTGATCGTACAGCGATCACATGATCCCCGGACCGTATCGAGATCTGCATGTCTCTGTCCAGTGGACGCAGCGGTCATGGTGAGGAGGGCACACTGCAATTCTAGGAATGGTACAGGGACCTTTTCCCTGTGTTTCAGGAGGCACAGCAGCCCATTCAAATGAATGGGCTATGTGCCTACGCAAAATGCGACTCGCAGAGCCACATCAATGTGAATCAGCAGTAACCAAAAGATATGTCAGCACAAATCACAACTTTTTGATAATTTTAATTTCTGGGAAGAGAGCTAAAAAGATACTGGGAGAGGAATGCAGAGACTATGGTATGGAGCAGACATGCCTAGCTGCTGTTCTGTGGTTATATAAAGACCCATTACCTTTATGTAATGACTGATGCGCTCCACTGATGTGAAACGAGCTTCTGTCTCTGAAGCAAGCCGAACCGTGAACTGGAACAATCCTGTTAACTGGAAGAACAGAAAAAAAGAAAAAAAGTCTTAAACCCATCCACTACTTACCATTCACTATGTTTTATCAAAAGAGACACATACATGCTGATGTACAAGTAAAAAATCCAATGTCACACAAACCTAATGTAATACGTTAATGCCATTGCTGTCAAATCTCTCCAATAATGTTAATGGCTATACCTGAAGTAGTTATTGCATATGTATTATTTTTCTGAGAATTATACAAAGAAAGAAGGTCCACCGATACAAGAGGCCATAACAAAAAAATCTGTTCTGTTCTAGCAATATGTGCAGTTTTCATACAGTATTGTGGATTACATATATTTGTTTTTAAGTAAGCCACTGTAAGGTGGACTATGCAGGGTGCTTCCCCACCTGACAAAGGCATTTGGAAGCCAACCCCATCTTCTGTCCGCACCTCTCTTGTCCTTCCATCTGCACAGTGCCATAGCTTACTGAGGTAATAGACCTGTAACACTGGACTGACCTTCAGCTGGGAAGACTGTCTGGTTAAAAAAAACCAAGACACCTGACGGTGACACAAAAAACCCATAGTAGGTGCAACAGATGTACCTGCCATCTTTAATCAGCTGCTGTAATTATGTGTTGGATGGACTTCACTGAAGCTTTTATAGCAGTTGGCCAGACGTAAGATAGCACCCACATGGCTTGTTGACATCAAAAAACACAGCACATGCATGGTCCAATCCCACCTTTCTTAAACACTACTGGTGTAAAGCACTCTATTGGTAGAGTCATCCAAGAAAAAAAACAAAAAAGAAGAAGAAGAAGAAGAAGTAGTATAGCACGCACTGGGCCAATCTTCCATAGCAGGGACCAGATACCACCCCTCTGACCTCAAGGTTGTAGGTGACCAATCCAAATATTTTTTTTTTTTTTCTATACCCTAGCTAGGGTGTACAGAACAGGTTATAAAAGACTGTAAGCAAAGATGTCCTGAAAAGGAATATTTAGAAAGACTTCACAGATGCATCTATCACTTAAGGACACTAGCTCAAAACTGAGGCTTTGTGAGTTGTAAGAAGTTATACCTAGGTAGAAAAAATAGAATGTTTTTGGCCAAAGTCCATTTATCAGAAGGTGGAAACATAAGCCAAACAGTCATGAATATAAAGCAATCCAGTGAAGTAGGTTTAATATAATGTTCTTCATACATGTTGAACATTCAATAAACACAGATTAAACAGACAAAAAAAATATATATATATTTTTACCTTCCAGTCATGTCTAACCTACCTGTACTGCATACGACATAGCAAGCCCAGCATATGCTGGAGAGATATTGCCATGCATCAAAACAATCATGAGGCCAGTGGTGGAAATCAGGGAAATACTAATTATGTCCAGACGTATGGCCAACCAGCGCATGGCACAGTTAAACAAATAGAATGGAGCCTGATTACTGTCCAACAACTCCTGGTACCTAAAACATATGAACAATAGGGTTATCCAGTATACTTTGTGCTATATGTCCTCATCCTCTGATTAAGAATATACAGACAAAAATATGGTAGTAGCCAGAAACTTTGAGGAATTTATAGATGAGAAGAGAACACTGCATATATAAAAACCATAAAAAAAAATTATTGGGACAGCAAGTAAAAGAACAAAACACAAACCAAACATTTTGAGTACATGTAGACTCGATGCATTTTGATTGATAAATCTTCCTTAGGAGTACACACATGAATGATCAGCATGATGAAAAACATAATTCTTAATCTCTATATGTGAAAGGGAGGATATCTGGGAAATGAGTTCTTACTCATTCGATCTCTGCCTAAGGCAGTACAATTAAAAGGATATAAAAAGAAAACTAAGTGAGCGCTACAAAACAAAAGCCGCTGAGACACCAAAAAGGTAACCATAAGCCCTAGGCAAAAAATAGAAATAAATAGGTACAGTGCTAATAGCAAACAAACAATGTTATAAAGTGTCAAAATGTAAATGGAGAATGATAGCTCATTCAGACCTAATACAGATATAAAATGCAACGCTAATAGAAAATAAACATGTGTTATAAAGTGCCAAATGCAAATGGAGAATGATGGCTCATTCAAATCAAATACAGATATAAAATGTCAATAGTGCAAATAATAAATCATGAATAGTGATATGAGTGCTAATGGTATAATCACGTAAAAATCAATAAATAAATTGTGCAAAATTATAAAGCCACACTAGGTGGTTTAAGTGATGAATATGTGAAAGTCCAAATAATGAACGTGGGGATCCAAAAAGATCTCAGCATAGGTGTTCCAAATTCCTAATCCAAAGTGATGGATGGTGTGACTAGTAATAAGTAAATTGCGCACTCACCAGATGCGCAATAATACACGCATTTGAGATTACAACTGTCTCATCAGGTCAGCCAGATCATCCGATAATGTGTAGCAAGGAAATTTCACAGATGGACTTATTGCACAGGTGGCAAACTATCATAGTACCACGCTTGAAGTCACTGAGCTCCTAGGAGCAACCCATTCTTTCACAAATGTTTGTGGAAGCAGTCTGCATACCTAGGTTCTTGATTTAAAACACCTATGGGGCCATGGAGGTGATTGGAACACCTGAATCCAATAACTTGGAGGGGGTGGCTCAATACTTTTGGCAATATAGTGTGTATGTATATACACACACACACACATTTTCACGTCGGTGACAAACCATGCAACCCATACACACAATTTCTAAATGTATTTGTTTTGGTTTCTTTAAGTTATGTGTAAAAAAATGGAATGACAGAAAAAAGTATTGAATACACAAAGAAACAGAGGCGCAGAAAGTCAAGACACCAGCTGAAATCTATCAGTAATTAGAAAGCAATCCTGTCCTCAACTGATAGGCTATAAAAAAAGTTTCTCATTACCAAGGTGTCATACAACAAACATGATGGGTAAAGTTTGCTGCAGAACATTTAGACAAGCCTGTGAAATACTGGGAGAATATAGTCTGGTCAGATGAGACCAAAATTGAACTCTCTGGATGCCACAATACACACCATGTGTGAAAGTCATACGGCACTGCACATCACTCCAGAAATAACATACCAACAGTGAAGTTTTGAGGTTGGAGCATCATGGAATGGGGCTATTTTTCAGCATACGGTACTGGCAAACTTCAGACGAGACCCTGCGGTGGTCTGGCAGCCATCTTACTTGACTACTGGTCAGTGTCTACTTTTTAATTTTGCCTCTTATCTGTACCTGTGACTGGATTAAAGTTTTTGGAAGCAGTATCACGCTATGTGGTCTCCTTTTTTTGGACTCTTCATAAGTCCAACCATCCACAGTATTCCTTACTAAGGAGAGCATGTAGTTGCTACTCAGGAGCCATCCAGGGAGGAATCCACATCAGATGGCAGAGGCCCGGTTAAGACACTCCAGCTGATCTTCTGAGAGATTATCTTCTCAAAATGGGCTTTAACTTTGCGCATCTGGTGACTGCGCAATTTAATATTTAATATTACCAGAAGATTTCGATAATATACCACCTTTGTACTTGATATTTCACTACCAGACTTTATATCTGACTTGGACTTTCATGATTTTATATATGAACTGTCATTTGATGTATGGTAATTTACTAGACCATTTGAATATTGATAACACACTATTTTGAATATAATAGAGCTGCACCTTCTATTATACTTAGTTTTGAGAGGGTTATGTTGGGTACCTTTTGGTGTCCTAGCTGCTTTATAATATAGCGGTCACTTTTTCCCTGATTTTGAGTACTACCATTTTTTGTTTGTATAGAAAACACAGTCAAGAGAAAAAATTAAACATAAGCAAGGTGCAAAAAAAAAAAAAAAAAAACAATAAATGATCCTTTCAAAAACGCAAACTTCCAGCTCTGCATTTATTACAGAACTTCATGCCAAAACTGAAAAGGATTCACACCACTGAGCTCTAGGCAAGATTTTTCATTACATAGTAACATTGATTGAGCTTGTAAGTATGCATATCTCATACCTGAGCGATCACAGTAGTGGAAGCTACAAATCACTCCAAATCAACACCAAAGCACCACAGGATCATTAGGAAAAAAATTACCATGAAGACCCACTTGAAACTACTGTGTGCTTACCTGTGCAGAAACTCGTGACCTTTATTATATGCATGGATTGTGGACAGTCCTTGAATACTAGATGTAATATGTGATAAGAATGGACTTTGTGTGATGTTATCCAGTCGCTTTAACTCACGGATAAAAACCCTAGAAAGATTAAAGAACTGTGTTTAGAATAAGAACCTATCCTTTAATCAAATCAGTTAATAAAACTACCAGTTCAGACCTCTATCCTTACATTTTCTTTGAATTGTGCAGCTAACTGAACCAATTTTCAGGATCCCATATGCTAAGCTTACTTGACAATGTGCAGAAGATTGTACAAATTCTTAAGTATTTGCGGAGAGGTACTCACCTAGAAACAACATGCAATATGGTGAAGAGCACAACTAGCGGCCCAACAGCTACTAGGAACCACGGGAAGACAAAAGAAATTACGCCCAGGCAAAAGAACACTAGTATAATGTTTTGAACAAACATTTCAGCTTGAAAGGGAAGCCGGACATCAACTGCATAGTTAAAAAAAAAAAAAAAAAAAAAAAAAAAAAAAAAAAAAAAAAAAAAAGGATGAGAACACAATCATCAACACGTTTTAATTACTTTCCTCACAAAGACAGAACAGTAAACAATTTAGGCAAAATATATAACAGATGAAATGAGCGCTGGTGGGAGAGCTCCATGGAGGGACGCATAGATCTCTAAAGGCTAGACAATGGCACCCTGACTGCAATTAGGTATCAGGATGAAATCCTTGGTCCCATTGTCAGACCCTACGCTGGTGCAGTGGGTCCTGGGTTCCTCCTGGTGCACGACAATACCCAGCCTCATGTGGCGAGAGTATGCAGACAGCTCCTGGAGGATGAAGGAATTGATATCATTGAATGGCCCCCACGCTCACATGACCTAAATCTAATAGAACAACTCTGGGATATCATGTTTCAGTCCATCCGCCACCGACAGATTACACCTCAAACCGCCAATGAGCTCAGTGATGCCCTAGGTCCAGATCTGGGAAGAAATATCCCAGGACACCATCTGTCGTCTCATTAGGAGCATGCCCCGACGTTGTCAGGCATGCATACAAGCACGTGGGGGCTATACAAACTACTGGAGTACCATTTTGAGTTGCTGCAATTAATTATCAGCAAAATGGACTAGCCTGCTACATCACTTTTTCACTTTGACTTTCGGGGCATCTTTAAATTCAGTCCTCTGCAGGTTGATAATTTTCATTTCCATCAAATGATGGGGCATCCTTACATTCCTAACACATTACCCAGTCTATATTAGTATGGATATCCAGCATGATATTATTCCCCATTGAGATCTTAAGTGTTTTCAAGGTGTTCCTTCAATTTTTTTGAGCAGTATATATATATATATATATATATATATATATATATATATATATATATACATATATATACACACACACATACATATACACACACATATACATATACACACACACATACATAATGCCTTGGAAATTCTTTTGTACCCTTCTCCTGACTAATACTTTTTGACAATGAGATCCCTGATGCTTTGGAAGCTCTCTGCAGACCATAGCTTTTGCTGTAGGATGCGAATAGCAAAATGTCAGGAAAGACCTACTAGCTGAACTTTATTTAGGGTTAATCAGAGGCACTTGAAATTATGGCAGGTGTGTACTGACTCCTATTTAACATGATTTTGAATGTGATTGCTTAATTCTGAACACAGCTACATCTCCAGTTATAAGAGGGTGTGCACACTTATGCAACCACATTACTTTAGTTTTTTTATGTTTACTCCTCCCCTAAAAGATTTCAGTTTGTTTTTCAATTGAGTTGTACAGTTTATAGGTCACATTAAAGGTGGAAACAGCTCTGAAATTATTCATCTTTGTCTCATTTTTTTTACATCACAGAAACCTGACATTTTAACAGGGGTCTTATCTTGGTAGTTCAGCTGCCCCTGGTGCAACCAAATACAAACCAGGACCAGCAGGCCCAGTCAGTTGTGCAGTGTATATGAAAGAGGATGTGCCAACATTCTGGGGTAAAAAGCAAAGAGTGCTAGCTGGAAGAGATGGGAGGTGCTAGGGAAACCAATTGTTTTGTAAGCTGATTTGGAGTTTAGCTAGTGCTCAGATAATCAATAGTTGGGCATTGTTATGTGAACCAGACTATTTGAGGAAACTTACCTTCATCCATGTCCTTAGAAAATCTATTCAAAATACGCCCTGTGGGAGTAGTATCAAAGAATTTCATTGGACTCCGGAGAATACGCCGGAAAAGCTCGTCATGGAGCTTAGATGAAGCTCGTAGCGTACCCTGAGAGGCAGCAAAGCACAAAAATTAAAATCTTTATAGGCCAATGTTAGACAACTCAATCAATTCTGAGACATAAATAGCCCATACCTTGACAAAGACAACGCCACGAATAGCCTTTAAAAGAAGCATTATGACCATAGACAATGCGTATATGCCAGTATAGTACAGTACATGGGGATTGTCCTTCATACTGTTGCTGACAAGTGTTTCATTGTGCACCAGCACAGATGTGTTCTAAAGAGGAAAGAAAAAAACATGTACATCAGTGTACTGCTTAATTTACTAAACATGTCAACTATACACATGCAAATGTTTTCTCTCAAGAACACTCAGAATAGGTTCATCTTTTTTTTTTTAAAAAAAAAACACCATTAAAATGAAACGTAATCTGATTTAAAGACCATCCTTGAAAAAAAAAGAAACTGTACATTTTTGACTTGGACAAATAGGATGAGCCATTTTAACTTTATCCTTTATCTCATCAGGCCTCGTTCAGACTAGCATACCTATTTATATATCTAATAGCTGTTCATTAAAGCCAAACTCAGGGGAAATTTCATAATAACCCTTGCAGTAAGGCAATCACCCACCCCAACCCCACTGTTCTTGTATTGTATGATTCACAGTGCCTGCGATTGACAGAGCAGCAAACAAAGGGGCTTCAGGGTACTGGTTGCACAGAGGCATAATTCTGGAGGAGGAGTATTTTTGCATTTTAATGGTACCCTAGACAAAATGGGCATTTCATCTTTGCAGTGCAGGGCAAGCCCCATTGCAGTTTGTTTTGGATTTTAAAGTGGAATTCCAGGCTCTTCCTAACTATGCTTAAACCAGTTTCCACTCACCTTCTAATTCCTATTCTAAGCACCCTGTGAAAAGAAGATGCTTATACCTAAACATCCTAAGGGCACTTCTGTCCAGGCACATGTTTGGCTCCCAGTGGCAGCATCAGGGGAGAGTAGGGCCAACTAAAAATGGATGTCCCATGGCAAGCCTATGGGAATCATCACTGCTCAGGCATTTCAGCCATTGCCTGCAATCTCTCCTTTCCCCTGAAGTTGGCCACGGGGGAGATCATGTGACCAAAGTGGAACGTCTTCAGGATAATGAAGTATAAACAATCTCCTTTTACAGAGCACTTAGAATAGGAGTTAGAAGGGGGTGGGCGCAGATGTAATCATAGTTCGGAAAAGCTTGGACTTCCACTAAAAAACCTGTTGATCCTGAAAAAAAAAAAAAAAATTATATATATCTCAAGATTACTTTAGCAAGCTAAATATGCTGCACTGACCATCTTAAATATTTTCTTCAGTCATGATTGCATCCCCTGTGGCCTGCTTCAAAACTCCACCTTGTGTTGTAATGGGGATGAAACGAGGAAGAGATGTTCCATAGTCCTAACACTAGTATGTAGTCATACAGTATAGGAGAGACAGAAACCCACACTTTAAAGAGAAAAATGTCACTTTGGACTGCATGTGCAAAAGTGGGAGTATCTCTGAGCCTTATAATTCCTGGTAACTTTACAGACAACAAACACACATTTTAGCATACTATGTACTAAAAACTGTTGCTAGGTTAAAAGTCCCCCCCCCCCCCAATTAAATATGCAAAAATCATAAAAAAAAAAAAAAAAATAAACAGGCTTACTGAATGTTCAACTCTGTTTCGGTGGTTTTGATAGCACTGTGGGAGTAGCGCAGCTAACCCAAAAGTTTGGTGCTGGTTATCTGCTCTCTCCCACTGAATTGCATTATGTTCTGTTGCGCACCAAAGAAGCCACATGCAGGAGTTTTGGTGCACCGAAAGTGTGAAGGGGAAATTATACTTACCTGTTCTGTGCAATAGAATTACAGAGTGGCCCTGAACCTCTTTTCCTTGGGTCCCCCACCAGAGGTTCTGGATCCACCTCTCTGGTAAGTGCCCCTATAGGAAGCAGCTTCCTATGGAGGCACTCGTGCAGGCTCACTCCCAAGTTCCCACTCCCTTGTCAGTGGCTTTGACGGCAATGGGAGCCAATGGCTCCTACTGCTTCAGCAAAGCTTGTGAGACCAGGAAGTGAGAGGAGAAGGCTGCTGCAGACAGGCATAACACTGAATTGAATAATGGCTAATAACTGGACTCATAGCGGGGAGCCAAGAATGTAGGGAACTATATCACATAGATTACAGCTGCTGGCAGATATTACTGCAGAATGAAGAGGAGGTTCCACCTTTCCTACAGACCCACTTTAGACATTGTGGCATAAGGTGTAGAAAGATTTAAAAGAAGAGATTAAGCAGGTTCAATTCCAAGTTGTTGAAAGTGGTAATGCTTACCCCACTGCCCTGTTTAATCCAGTAGCTTAGCCACCAGTTGCTAAAGGCTGTGCTTCCTACATTAAGCACAAACAGAGCCATGATGATCAAAAATGCAAATGGACCTCCAGCTGCCTGTATGTAAACGCCATAAACAGACCAGGGTACTGATCCTTTACCTTTCTCCTCCATCTGCATAAGCTGACCTGTGGAAAACCAAACACAATATAAACTAAAATGTGGTGTTCGTTTTCTTACAAACAAAACTTAAATTGGAAGTTATGTCTATCACTGCTAATAGTAAATACTAATAATCTGAATGCTCATATTAAAAGACTGTTAGCTCAATATGCACAATCACATATCTACCATACTTTACAATGCTTTCAAGCAATATTTTAGCAACTCTGTGGCTAGATTAAACCAAGAAAAAAAAAAAAACCTATCCCCCCATTTTCAATAAGCCTCTATACTTTGCTGTATTACACTAATTAAATACCAGATCTGATGGTGTTGTCTCGCCCATCTATGTTCTTTAATATGCATTTCACTTATTAAACCCTCATTCAAATTGATATTTTGCTTCTAGTGTCACCTAGCTGTTTAACTTATACAAACGCTTTTGATTTTTTTATTAAGATAACAAACATGTTATACTTACCTGCTCTGCAATGGTTTTAGCCCCGAATCCTATTCTTCTGGGGTCCCTCGCACACGCTCTTGGCCCCCCTCAGCCGAGTGCCCACCAGAGGAAGCCACTTCTTATGGGGGCACTTGTGTGGGCTCACTCCCAAGCTGGGCTGTTTGCGTCTTTTCAGGCACACGACTCGGCCCCACATCCGCTTACAGGTTAGACTGACAGCAGCAGGAGCGAATAACTCCTACTGCTCTCGGCCAAGCCTGTGAGAGCCAGGAGAGAGGAGAGGAGCTGCTGGAGGTATGAACAGCAGTGAATCGAGATCGGGCTCAGGTGAGTATTTAGAGGGGCAGCTGCATGTAAAAGGTTTCTTTTACCTCAATGCAGAGAATGCAATAAGATAAAAAAACCTTTACAACCACTTTAAAATACCTTCCCTCCCATTTTCCAATAATACATCTTCAAGTCCCAAGATTCCTTGCCCACCCCATCACATTGCATATGTTTGCCCTAAGCACCTTGAGAACCCCAGGCACACTGCACTTGGTGTCCTCGATAGCACGTAAGCAGGAACTAAAAGGACACCCTTCCCCACTGCACATGCACAGCACCCGAGCGTGCACAAAATGAGAAATACCCGTCCAGGAGCTAGCACATAAGGGTGGCTTTCGGAGAGACCCTGCAATGCAACAGAGCTAGCCTAATAAGTGGAAATGGGTTAGGTATGCTACTACATTTCATTTTATCTAGGAAAGGTTTAACATTTGGAGCTCTTGGTAATATAGGGGCAAGCCAATCCAACATGCCTAATTAAAATTATATGATAATAAAGCCAAGGATTATTTGATAAAAGCCTACATGGGAGTTAGTTGAAAATCTTCACTCAAAAATAGTTTGAATATTTACTTCAATTATCCAACTAAGTGAAAAGCAAATTGCTGTTCACTCTGAATACCCAATCATGTGCAGAAACTTTTCATGAGACTGGATACCTGAAGTGAAAATTTTGCACAATTTTTTTGTGTGAAGATTCTAGGTCACTTTAGTAACAGCCTTAATATACTTGATAAGAGATTTAGAGTTAGATAGCAAAATAGGAATCTGTTATACCTTCGTCTTTTTTTACAACCTTTTCTTTCTTCACAGACCCTGATTTATTAGCTTTGTCCAAAGGTTTCTTCAATGAAGTGCTCACATTCTTCTTTAGACTCACCTACAGGAAAGAAAGGATTTTGATTTTACCTTCAACAGGTGACTGTAGTGTCTGCTTAATACAATACGTTGTGTAATAATTTGTGTTTATTACAGCAAAAGACTGCTAAGCAGAAAAAGAACTGCCTCATTTAAGTGCAGTGAACAACTTTATAAACAAAGAGGATAAAAGCTGACAGAGTAAAAAGATGACATAAAGCAGATATCAGCATTACACATCTAGTAGTCAATGAGAGAGAATTATCTGTACCCAAACTCCACCAATAGAGGAAAATACATAGGACACAAACTCCCAACTTGCCTCAATATGAGGTGCATCTCCCAGCTGAAAGTTATTAAATATTGTAGCATATTCTCCATTCAGTTTCATAAGCTCCTCGTGTGTCCCTCTCTCTGTTATGCAGCCTTCTTTCATGTATATAACATCATCACAGTCCACAAGATACTGGAGGAATAAAGCATTAGAGAAGGCATAGAGTGACAAATCGACTGCATAATTGGTCTACACCACTGAAGCAGCAACTATCAGCACCTCAGATGGCTTCTCCCATTACCTGAAGCTGGTGGGTGATAAACAGAATAGTCTTAGATTTCAGGTGCTTTTTAATGGCACTGTTGAAGATGTGGTTGCCCACATGGGCATCTAAGGCACTAAGAGGATCATCCAGAAAGTAAATGCTGCGGTCACTGTATAAAGCTCTTGCCAGGCTAATTCTTTGTCTCTGGCCACCACTAAGATTTGCTCCACGCTCCCCTATCTGCAAACAGAGAAGAAAAAAAATCAGATTTACCAACAAAATCGACTTTGCCACATGGATTCAGTTTAACCATCTCAAAGTCAGAGTAAAGTTTCTGCACTAAAAAAAAAAAAATTTGGACAAACCTTCTGGGGGAAAAAAAAAAGTCCATTAGCATAATTGCATGTGCTGTACACACTCCACAGGATACAATGATGAGTTTTTATTTCCATACTCCACTGGGGAAGGGTTGGAAGAACCTTTCATAGGAACAAACAGTACAACCAATGCAAGGGCTTGGCTTTTAGTATTATGACAAGTATCTGTGTGTGCCAATTGTCTGCACGCACAATAATATATTGCTGGATCTAGGACTTTGGAATTGGAAGTAGGGCTGGGGGCGAGGGGCCATACAGATTATGCAAGGTTCTCTGTGGCAGCCTCTTAGTTAGAACAGTCCACCTTGACATCATGATTACAAGGCTTTGAACATACAAAGTGCCTTCACTTTTTTTTCTATTTTGTTGTGTTGCAGCCTAACACCACAAGTTGTTTAACCGGCTGCCACCCGCCATATTGTGATATAAACGGACAGGCAGGACCGCTCTTGTTCTGGGAGGACGTCATATAACGTACTCGCACTCTGGGTGCGCAGCAATCTGTGCCCCTCAGACACAGCACATCACTGATCAAAGTAAAGAGCCAATGGCAGCGGCTCTTTACCCCGTGCTCTGCTATGCCCAATCACAGCCGATCACAAATGTAAACAAAGACCAGTAACTCGCGGTTACTAGATTTCTCAGCTGCCCATCAGCAGTGTACCCGCCACACAGCCGCCATCAGCAGTGTACCTGTCCCAGTACTATCACAGCCAGTCATGTCAAAAATAAATTTACACTAGTGAGAAGGCGTTTAAAATCCTCAGTATGATGGATGAGAGCAGCAGGAAGCTCTTACCATCCTATTCTGATTCGGTATATGAACCCATCAAACGTAGTGGATCAGTGACTGAATCAGAGGTCGGAAAGGGTCCCTCCTAAAAGGATATGGCAATCTGAAAACCAGGAAGCCACCAGCAGTGCCATGCATCCCAATGGTCAATCGGCAAACGGCAATGTCACTAGACCCCTGGATGAAAGGCCCAGTACCAGCACTGGAATATCACATCAGACCCCAAGAATCAAGGCACAAACATACCTCCCAGACGCCCTTGCTAACTCATTATGGCTGCCCTCCAACTCGGGTTCAGCACCTTTTCTCCCTTTCACCGCACAGCCAGGTGTGCAGGCCAACACTGAAAATTTTTCAGAAATGTTTTCTTATTTATTTTTCCCCGACAGTTTACTTCAGTTTTTTGTGGTCCAGACTAACCCTTTTGCCCAACAATATATTGCTGACATCCCCAGTTCATACTAGGCCCGTCTGTTTGAATGGAGACATCCATTTGAGATGTTTAGGTTATTTTTGAGCCTCACCCTTAACATGGGGCTTACAAAAAAAAAAAAAAATTAAACGACAAGCTTACTGGTCCACACACCCCATCCACCACATGCCCATTCTGTTGTAATGCCAGGTCACGCTATGAGATAATCATGCACTTCATTCAATTCAGTGACAATACCCAGTGCTTTCCCTGAGATCATCCCAACTATGACAATATATACAAAATTCACTCACTTCTTAAATTTTTTTTCCCCATTTGCTGAACTTTATGTCCCAGACCAAAACATGTGTGGACGAATCCCTTGTCCACTTCACTGGCCGGCTGGGAATCAAGCAATACATTCCAAGCAAAAGTGACAGATAGAGTAAAGCTTTGTGAAAGAGCCACTTGAGTATTTGCATGCGTTCCGTGTGTACCAAGGCAACGATTCCCAGCTCCAGCCTTGAGTGTCCAACCTACATTGGCACAAGTAGAAAAATTGTCTGGGACCTGGCTTATCCACACATCTATCTAGACAATTTCTATACCAGTCTGCCTCTTTTCTGCCTCCTGTACCATGAGAAAACCTTGGCCTGCACTACCTCCCGAAAAAAACAGGAAGTGCTTCTCGCAAAGTTTAGTGAACAAAAGGCTACAAAGGGGGAATCAGCAAGTCGAAGAAAGGGCGAAGTGCTGGCCATGAAGTGGAAAGATGAGAGGTTTATGTCCTGTCCACATCCACAATGACACCTCAGTGGAAATTCCCAGAAGACATGGTCGCATTCAACAATGTGACTTCCTGATAGGATAGCATATGCTATCCTATGAGAAAGTCATGCAGTTTGTGACGAAATGTGCCAGGAACGTGGATTAGTGACGTCAGTACGCCGAAGTACAAGATCGTCCATTTTACCTACGGGACGCTGGATGGATGTTTTTCCTTAAGGGGGCAAATTCTATTATATTGAAATAAGCGATGATTCTCTGTGCACTGGTTTACTGCACTATATTTGTAAGTATAACTGAGCCTTTTTAGGAATAAATTAGTTTTTAATGGGGTACTACACTATAAGAGACTTTCATTCTTTCCCTTAATATATTTGCTTATATGACCTATTGAGTTATCTACTTGGGTACGTGAAGAGAAAAGGTTTTACCCATGAGACTGGGAAAGGCTTTCTTTGACCTAACATTTAGTGGGTCATTGACCGGAGATAAGCGGCAGCATTGAGAACAGAGTGGTGGTGCTGCAGGGGAGATTGGGAGCACAATTTCCATTTCTACATATGAGGAAACTGCACTACTGACACCTAAATGGAGCATCAAAATATATATTTTTTGTACTTTTAAATAGGGTTATGAGAACTTTATGAACACTATTTGTTTTTATACACTTAATATTTTTACTGTTTCTATTGCATTTTGTCTTTTTTTTTTTTTTTTAAGTTTTGATATTTATATATCACTAGTTGATATATTATTATAGCAGTGTTTTTCTATAGTATTGGGGAAAACGAATATTGTTGGAGTTGAGCAGCACTATTTTGAGAATGTACACGGTTTGATGTGGCAACACGTCAGGTGCTTGCAGGAACAAAGTAGATTTATTGGTGTATTTTATTTGTACTTCATATTAATTGTTCCCCGCTAACAGCTGAATGTAAACAAAAAACAGTTGGTGGCAATAAAAACTTGAGAAAACAAACAGCATGGAGCGGTTGATAAGGTGTGGACAGCAACAAGGTAGATTTATTGGTGTATTTTATTTGTACTTAGTATTAAATTGTTTTTATTTAGTTTTGAAACAAAAAATGGGCCATGCTATTGCCTGCTGCAGGTCGTACCGAGCCTTTTACTCACTAATTTGTTGAGGCACCTTTGGCAGTAATTACAGCCTTGAGTCTTATTGGGTATGACGCGACAAGCTTTGCACACCAGGATTGGAGTACTTTCTGCAATTCTTCTTTCCAAATCCTCAAGTCTCTCCAGAGAGGTTTGTTAGAGTTGAAGTCAGAGGTTTGGCTGGGTCACTCTCAGAATTACACAGAGTTGTCCCTAACCCACTCCCGTGTTGTCTTGGCTGTGTGCTTAGGATCATTTTTATTGGAAAGTGAACCTTTGGCCCAATCTGAAGTCCTGAGCGCTGTGGAACATGTTTTCATTCAGGATATCCCTGTACTTTGGTCGGAGTTGAGGGAAAGCCGAGTGGAACAGTCTCCCAGCCCCTACTGCTGAAAAACACCCAAACAGCATGATGCTGCCACCACCACGCTTCACTGTTGGGATGATATTGGCCAGGTGATGAGCGGTGCCTGCTTTCCTCCAGACATAACGTGTAGAATTGGGGTCAAACAGTTCAATCCAGGTTTCATCAAACCAGAGAACCTTGTTCCTCACTTCTGACAGTCCATTAGGTGCTTTTTTGCAAACTCCAAGCAAGCTTTCATGTGTTTTGTACTGAAGAGAGAATTCCTTCTAGCCACTCTGCCATAAAGCCCAGATCAGTGGAGGGCAGCAGTGGTGGTTGTTCTTCTGGAACTGTGTCCCATAACCACACAGGATCTCTGGAGCTCAGTTAGAGTGACCATCAGGTTCTTTGTCACCTCTCTTACTAAGGCCCTTCTCCCCCGATTGCTCAGTTCGGCCAAGCAACCAGCTCTTGGCAGAGTCCTGGTTGTGCCAAACTTCTTCCATTTGGGAATTATGGAGGATACTGTGCTGTTGGGAACCCTCAGTGCAGCAGAAATATTTTTGTAGCCTTCCACAGATGTGCCTTGCAACAATCCAGTCTCTGAGCTCTGCAGGAAGTTGCTTTGACCTCATGGCTTTTGCTGTATGCATTGTCAGCTGTGAGGCCTTTTATAGAGAGGCGTGTGCTTTTCCAAGTCATGTCCAAACAATTTAATTTACCACAGGCGGACTCCTATAAAAAGGTGTATAAACATCTCGGCAACAATGAAGAGAAAGGGGAGGCCCCTGAGCTACAAGTGTTGTTGCAAAGGGTCAGAATACTTATGCCAATGTGATATTTCAGTTTACCATTTTCAAACATTTGGAAATATTTCTAAAATTCTGTTTTCAGTTTGTCATTATGAGGTACTGATTTTAGATTAATGAGAAAATAAATGTAGTTAAACAACTCTAGTATCAGGCTGCAACATAACAAAATTGAAAAAGGTAAAGGGTATCTGAATAGTTTATGAATGCACTGTATTTGCTGATATTTTCACAGCTTTCTTTTTAAAACATCTGGATTGAAGTCTCTTCAGTAGAAGTATCATTTGATTGTCTGTATTTATGGGCCATGATGGATGCCTCTCAGTTTCCAGCATAATCTCAATTTCCCCTAGATACCTTCTATATAGTAAAAAAAAAAAGCTAATTTTATACAATTTCATGTTCCTTTAAATGTGCAGTCCCACACATTCGCAGTGATGGAAAAGTTTAACAGGGCAGTCCTGTGCAAAATCACATAAAAAAGGTCATTCTGCACATCCGCCACTCAGGGGCGTGCGAGTACCTCTGGTGAAGATCTTTTGCTGTGAACTGTCACAGCACAAAACGATCTACAGCCCCAGCGAGCAGTTACTTGTCAGCACCTGTAGATTGTCGGTCAGGGAGAAAGAAGTGTTATGGCTATGTACGGTTTTGACAGGGAAAAGTCATGAATCGTTTTTCTGAGGGGGGAGAGAGATTGTTGCGTGTCAATAAATGCTCTAAGCTCTGGATACACCTTTGTACACGAAAAGACATAGGAAAGACTTAGAGACTACATATATCATATATTTGGTGAGAATAAATCTAAAACTTCAGCACTCAACAGACATTAGGGGTGAAAAACATAAAACATTAATTGCTAAAAACATGGGATGCGGTGTGTAAATCTACAGAAAAACAGAATGCAATAATTTGCATATTTCAAACCCATATTTTATTCACAATAAAAAAACATATGAAAATGTTTGAACTGAGAAAAATGTACCATTTTAACCACTTGCCTACCAGGCACTTTCACCCCCTTCCTGCCCAGGCCAATGTTGAGCTTTCAGCGCTGTTGCATTTGAATGACAATTGCACGGTCATGCAACACTGTATTTAGTCACCTCTGGGGTTTTATATTTTTTGCTAAACAAACTAAAGACAAAGTTTTGAAAAAAAAAAAAATAAAAGTTTGTTTTCTTAGTTATTTTCAGTTATAAAATTTTGTAAATAAGTAATTTTTCTCCTTCACTGATGTGCGCTAAATGAGGCTGCAGTGATGGGCACTGATGAGGAAGGATGGGCATTGACAGGTATCACCAGTGGGCATTGACAGGCATCACTGAAAGGCAGCACTCATGTGGCACTGACTGATACGGATAGGCAGCACTGACTGAAAGCACTGAGTGGCACTGATATGTGGCATTGATGTGCACTGGTATGTGACATTGATGGACACTGACAGGTGGCACTGATGGGGCGACACTGATCATCAGTGTACATGTCCCCTCTGAGGAATGCAGCTTACCGGCTCTCCTCCTCTGTCAGCGTGAGGAGAGGACTGCCGATAACCAGCATTTCCTATTTACATGTGATCAGCTGTGATTGGACACAGCTGATCACATGATACAGCCTATATCATTGGCTCTTTATTGCGATCGGTGATCTGCTCTGTCTTAGGGACCACCAATTGTCATGCGCACCCTGAGGCGAGAGCATGCGCATATGACGTCCTCCCAGAACAAGTGAACTGCCGCTTCCCTGTCACTTCCTTATATGGCAGGTGGGAGGCGGTTAAAGGAAAAAATAGAAGGTAATTTTGAAACTAATGGCAGCAACACGCCTCTAAAAAAATTTGAGACAGAGCAACAAAAAGCTGTGCCAACAATAGAAGAATCAGAAGAATATTATGCAACTAATTAGGTTAATTGGCAACAGGCCAGTAACATGATTGGTTATTAAAAATGCAAGCATCTTGAAGAGTCACAGCGTCTCAGAAGTAAAGATGGGCAGAGATTCACCAAACTGTAAAAAGCTGCACTATAAACTGTTGAGCAATTTCAGAATTTTTCTCAATATAAAATTGCAAACACTCTAAATATAACAGTACATAAATATATCATCATCTACAGTACATATAAAAAGATTCTGAGAACCTAGAGAAATATTTGTGTACAAGGGACAAGACTAAAACACAATATTGGATGCCTGTGACCTTTGGGCCCTCAGGTGGCACTGCATTAAAAACCAGGCATGATTTTGTAATGGACATTACTGCACAGACTCTGGAATACTTTCAAAATTCACTGTGAGCACAGTTCGCCATGCCATCCAAAAATGCAAGGTAAAGCTCTCTCATGCAAAGATGCCATTTATTTATTTATTTCGGGTACTTATATAGTGTCGTCAATTTACGTTGCGCTTTACATACATATATTGTACATTCACATCAGTCCCAAATTCTCAAGGGGTGTACAATCTAAGGTCCACAACTCACATTCATACATATCCAAACTAGGGCCAATTCAGACAGGAGCCAATTAACCTATGAGCCTGTCTTTGGAGTGTGGAAGGAAACCAGAATACCCGAAGGAAAACCATGCAGGCACAGGGAAAACATGCAAACTCCAGGCAGGTGGTGCTGTGGTTGGGATTCGAACCAGCAACCCTAGTACTGGCCAGGCAGAAGTGCTAACCATTAAACCACTGTGCTGCCCACGTCATATCTGAATACGATCAAGGATGGCCCATGTCTTCTCTCAGCCAAAGTTAATTTAAAATGGACTGTTGTAAATTGGAAAACTTATGTCGTCAGACAAATTTTGACATTTTTGGCAACCATGGGCTCCGCATCCTCTAGACTAAAGAGGAGAGGGACCTTTTGGCTTTTTATCAGGGCTCAGTTCAAAAGCCTGCATCTCTGATGATATAGAGCTCCATTAGTGCATAAGGAGTGAGCAGCTTGAATATCTGGAAAGGCACCAATGTTGAAAGATATATTCAGCTTTTATATAGTAATATATGCTCCCATCCAGATGATCTCTCTTTCACGGGAGGCCTTGCATAAGTCAGCAGGACAAGGCTAAACCGCATACTCTATGACAAAAACATGTAGACGAGTCCAGGTGCTTAACTGGTCTGCTTACAGTCCAGATCTTTCATCAATCGAAAATATTTGGCGAATCTTGAAACTAAAAATACAACAAAGACTGTTGAGCAGTTAGAATACTCTATTAGGCAAGAATAGGACAAAATGCCTCTCCCAAAACTCTAGCAACTGATCTTCTCAGTTTCCAGAATTGTTAAAAGAAGGGATGCTACACAGTGGTAAACATGGCCCAACTTATTTCAGACGTGTTGCTGACATCATATTCAAAATTACTTTTTTCTTTTTTTTTTGAAATGGTACATTTTCTCAATTCAAAAATTTTTATATGTTTTCTATTGTGAATACAAAATGGGTTTACAAGAATTACAAGTCATTCAGCATCCCAACTTTTTGGAATTGGTGTTGTATTGTCTTCAAATTCTTGGGGATTTGTACAATTATATAAATCATAGCATAAATCTTACTAAAACATTTTACAAAATATATTACAAACCTCAGTTAAATCACTGTTGGGCAGTATAGCCAAATCTGGTCTTAGACAACAGACACTCAGCACAGTGTTGTACCTAGAGCAAGCAAAATACAAATCAAGTCCAAAATACAAAAAACAGGTGGTAACCATGTTCTACAGAATGTAAAAAGCACTGACTAGTGTTTATATACTTTAGAAATCTGTATGCAAATATGTAGCTTGTGGCTGACAGATGAAAACAAATATCTGTTCTAGACTATTTATGCTAGGGAAACAGGTCATTGCCAAAGAGAACGATTAAAACACGGAGTTCCACCCAGCAGTGGTATGTGCTATTGCTCTCAAATTATTGCCTTCCTACAATTCCAGTTAAAGCTTAGGACATTAAACACAAAAGGTATGCAATGAACTCACCACATACATGTGTACATAATGAATGCATTTGCCCTATATAAAGAAAATAATATCTTCAACAGAAATGATCAAACAATTTAAAGGAAACCTGTACTGAAAAAAAAAATTTGGTAGACTGCCAGACTCTCTTGAAAATGCCATTTCCCTCTGGGTTTAAGGAGTCCCTGACACGGAATAAGTATACAGTCGGTGTGGTCAGTAAATTTAAAAACACTTAATCAGCATACAGCTGAAAAAGAAAACGTTCATAAACCTTTTGAAATTATTTGGATTTTTGCATGGTAGTGTCTCGAATGTGGCCCAATTTTCATAGATAGCATAAGAGACAAATAGTCTGAATTAAAAACATTTAGTGTTGTACAACATTACTGAGTAACTAAAGCAATCAAGGTCACAAGATCAGAATCTGGTTACCATTTTACAAAAAAAGCATGTAGTTTATTTAGGTACTTCATTCTTTTTCTGGCCCATTGTTCTGTTTATGGATGATACAGAGAAGTTGAATGCTTGACAGCAAAGTGCAAAGTTAGGTTGGTAGGAAAACAAGTATTACACCCCAAAACCAGATTTCTCTCTTATCTGAGGAGCATAAAGGGAGCATTTGGGTTTGGGGACGTTTCAGGCTCCTTGGGGCCTTTGTAGCTTGACTGCAGGGATTAATTAAAAAATGCATTATTAAAGTTTTTTCAGCAGAAAGTCTAACGCAGCAAAAAACACGGACTTGAAATACAGGAGATCTTAAAGTGGAACTAAAGCGCCACAATATAAGCGGTTTATAAAGAAAAAACTTTTTACCCATTAAATTTAAAAAGTATGTCATGGGCCATAAAGTGTACAGTCATGCGGTATATCGCATGTGATTCGCACAAAAACTGCACCGCATTCCTGTGCAAATCACATGCGGTTTGTGTGCGGTGCGATTTTGTATGGCTCTAATCTCACCACACCCAAAACATACAGGACCCTTTTTTGGGTCCGCACTAGAATCGGATCGCATGGGTATTCATACCTATGAGATCCGATTCTGCACATCGCACTGCGTTTTACAGACTGCTTTCGGGGTGTTAACATACACACCCGCAGCGGTTTGCACGAACGGGGTGCGATTCTGATGCAGTGCAGAATTTGCACAGAAAATGCTGCAAATTCCAGACCGCATCAGTGTGAACCAGGGCTAAAGCCAACAACTTAGCTACATTTTCAGAGTCATGGCCAAATTGTGGGGCCTAGTTAGCAGGAAGGAGGCAAGGCTAGGCCAGGGAATTGGGTTATTAGTGCAGACAAGGCAACAAAAGTGGAATAAATGACCTGTTAAGACACCTCAAACTCCCTGCTCTGTAGTACAATCATTGGTTCAGATAGATACACTATATTGCCAAAGGTATTGGGACACCCCTCCAAACAATTGGATTCAGGTGTTCCAATCACCTCCATGGCCACAGGTGTATAAAATCAAGCACCTAGACATGCAGACTGCTTCTAAAAACGGTTGTGAAAGAATGGGTCGCTCTCAGGAGCTTAGTGAATTCAAGCATGGTACCGCGATTGGTTGCCACCTGTGCAATAAGTCTATCCGTGAAATTTTCTTTCTACTAAATATTCCACAGTCAACTGTTCGTAGTATTATAATACAGTGGAGGCAACTGGGTACAACAGCAACTCAGCCAACAAGTGGTAGGCCATATAAAATGACAGAGCAGGGTCAGCGCATGCTGAAGCACAAAGTGCGCAGAAGTCACCAACTGTCTGCAGAGTCAATAGCGAAAAAGACCTCCAAACTTCATGTGGCCTTCAGATTAGCACAACAGTGCGTAGTGAGCTTCATGGAATGGGTTTCCATGGCCGAGCAGCTGCATCCAAGCCTTTCATCACCAAGTGCAAAGCGTCGAATACAGAGGATTAAAGCACTCCACCACTGGACTCTAGAGCAGTGGAGAGGTGTTCTCTGAAGTAACCAATCAAGCTTCTCTCTCTGGCAATCCGATGGACGTGTCTGGGTTTGGCAGTTGTCAGGAGAACGGTACTTGCCTGACTGCATTGTGCCAAGTGTAAAGCTTGGTGGAAGGGGGATTATGGTGCGCGGTTGTTTTTCAGGCTTGGCCCCTTAGTTCCAGTGAAGGGAACTCTTAAGGCGTCAGCATACCAAGACATTTTGGACAATTTCATGCTCCCAACTTTGTGGGAACGGTTAAGGGATGGCCCCTTCCTGATCCAACATGACTGCGCACCAGGGCACAAAGAAAGGTCCATAAGACATGGGGTGAGCAAGTTTGGAGTGGAGGAACTTGACTGGCCTTCCCAAAGTCCTGACCTCAACCCGATAAACCACCTTTGGCATGAATTAGAGCGGAGACTACGAGCCAGGTCTTCTCCTCCGACATCCGTGCCTGACCCCACAAATGAGTTTCTGGAAGAATGGTCAAACATTCCCATAGACATAATCCTAAACCTTGTGGACAGCCTTCACAGAATAGTTGAAGCTGTTATAGCTGCAAAGGTGGGCCAACTCAATATTGAACCCTACGGACTAAGACTGGCATGCCAATAAGGATCATGAGCGTGTAAAGGCAGGTGTCCCAATACTTTTGGCAATATAGCGTATATGGCACTTCAGGTTTCCATTAAAAAGCAGAAACGTTATATTATGGAAGGGCCAAGTCAGAGACCACTCTTAAACCCAATTAAGATGCTTTGGCATAAGCAAAAAACTGCTTATGTGAGGAAAGCTAAAAATATAATTAAACAATTAGTTTTGCTGTTAAGTAAAAAATGTCTATTCCGCAAAGCCATTGTGCAAGTTTTATCAGGCACTACAAAAATGGTTGGTGTAGACCATTACTACTAGGATTTTTTTTTTTTTTTTTTTATTTAGTTAAAAGGCAAACTGCATTTCAAGAGCAACTGTGCAAAACTCCAGGTACAATTACAAAACAGACTCAATAATCCCACGTTAGGGGCTCAAAATACTAAAGTCACTGGATCAGCATTGCCAGCCAAACAATTAGTAGCTTCAAAAGTAGATAGAAAAGTGGACAACCAAAAGTATTCGCAGAGTACACACTTGGTATACACAAATTTCTTTTTACCAAATCCTTTGTGACTTTCTAAAAAAGAAATTGGATAGGAAGAAATTCTTAAACTGAATGCATTTCATATGCTTAATATTTAGCAAAGATGCCTGTCCAGAAGACCATAGTACAATTGAATTTAGCACATATGTGGTAAATTTCCCTCATTTGCTCTAATTGCTCCAAGCAAATGTTTCTAGCAGCTCTTAGAAACAGCAGTAGTAGTCTAGTCTACTGCTAAGTAAATAGGGTCATTTATTTCAGCCTGGTGAAAGCAATCAACAGCCATTAAAATATTTAGTTTGAAGCTCAGAATGCAACTATTATTTAATGGCTATCAGCAGGAACAACCTTATCGCTTTGCATACTTTTTTGATGTTAGGCACATTTTTTTTTTCTTGAAATCATCAAGATAAAATCCAAAGTATTTTTTTTCAAAATACATAAGATATGCACATACCTTTCTTCATCGTATTCTTTCCCAAACAAGATGTTGTCCCTAAGAGTTGAATTTAATATCCACGCTTGCTGTGCAACGTAAGCAACTGAACCATTAACAGCGATACAGCCTTCGAGAAGAGTCATCTTAAAAAAAATAAAATAAAATAATAAGCGCACACTCAAAACTCTAAAAATTATCTACCAAGCAAAACATTCATCTGTAACTACACACTGGGCCCACATTTATTAAAAAGTTTGACAGAATGCTTTTTTCACTGCTTGTATCAACCAGATCCTCCCTTTAGTTTCTTCTTGTGGGATACATCACCAGCAAGTGAAGGAAAGCTACACAGTTATCTAAGATAACTACACTGGGACAAAAGACCTTAAAGTGTTCCTAAACCCACAACAGTAAAATTAGTGTATATATGAAGTAAAGCATGCTTGAAAAAACTCATTGTGGAACTTAAGGGGTTAATCCTTCGCATTGTTTAAAAAGGCTGTTTGATCCTGTCTTTTCTGATCCTTCCCTTCTACTGTCCCCAATCCATCTGCTGATAGTACAGAGTCTAGGAGTCACTCTGCACATACTCAGTTTAGTGTGTATTGCTAGAGAGGTTTTTTTTTTTCTTTGGCAGGGTGCATGTGATCAGCACAGGGCCAAACATCGCTGTCCAGACAGAGGGTCAGGGGGTTATGCAGCCTCATAAGACAGTCAGAGGAGAATGAAAACTCCTCCTTCAAGCTTTAACTGGTGCTCAGCTGACACTAATAGAAGTCACAAAACTGCTATATACTGCTGGTGAGAAAAGGTATTTAGCAGTTTATATTTACTACAATAATTGCATTTCAATGTTCTGTGTACCGCGAGAGACCAGATATAGTGAATGCAGGTTTGTGGGTTTAGTAATGTGAAAGAACAGTTTATAATGTCTACAAACTCTAAAGATACACAGGATCGATAATTAATGATCAGATTATGGTATGTCTTTTCCATATAACTGCATAAAGCAGCCCATAGATGAGTTAGTTTTTTTTTTTTCTGTTCAACCAGCGGGCTGAACTCGAATCCTCTCATCCTCACACTCAATGTGGATGGGCCAATCATCACCGCTGAGCTATTGTATTCTGACAGCGGAGGGACTTCCTTTCCATCAGAATACACCATCGCCTGCAGCACTGATCGAGCTGGGAGATTCAGAGAGGGTAGATCAACTTCTGTACAACCACAGTGCCCATACATGGATCGAAAAATCAGCTGATCCATGCTGAGCTGTACGAGTTCTGAACCATGTATGGCTTAAATTTAAATGTCTAGGCTTTGTGCCGACACACCTACCAAGACCCCTTTTTTTAAGCAAGGAAAATTCATCAATGAAAGCAGATTCTTCCCACATGACTGCCTGAACTGTGTGCGACTCAAGTATGAAGAAGACTAAAGACCTATGATGATAAATTTCCCAATCCACCTATGAATGGCCCTGTCAGACTACAATCAACTTAAGCTCCCTTAAGAATTGTAATCTGAAAGTTTAAATTTAATTGAGAAACAGACATTTGTCAGCACACAGGGTTAAAATAGGATTATATATACACACAGTAAAATCCTTTTCTTGAAGTGCACTTACAGGCACCAAAGTGTTCCATCTTCAGGTTATATTGGCATCTATAAGAGGATTTGACAGTCGGCACTGAGTCTTACTACGAGCATGCCTTGGATTTGTAGCAACCATTTCTCTGTTCTTGTCTACTGAGGGACAAAAAAGTAATTGACCTTCAGGACAACCAAAACCAGACCAACTGAGGGATGGGCAAAACAGCCTAACAGGCTGCCATCAGTCATGAGGATGTTCCAAAAAGAGGAGAAAGAAGGACTGCTCAATTCTAGAGCCAGGCTGCTGAGACACCAGGCCAGGGACAAGCTGGTCCTTGGTGCCAAATTAATTGGTCTGCTAAAAGACTTGGTTGACTTATCTTAGGACAAAAGGATGTTGAGTTGTCATGGTCTAGACGGAAACTGGCAAAATGAGATGGTCTCAAAAGGTGGCTACCATCAGCCTCAAAACCCTCAAACAAAAGTAGCGAGTTGAATGACCCAGATACACCAAACGATGAGTCAAAGGTCCTTGATGTCCACAGAAGCGAGAAAGTCTGCCTGGTAAAGGGCGGTGATGACAGACCTGGTGGATGCTATGTAAAATTTCTAGGCCCCAATGAAGACATTTAGAGATCAAAGATGGGGCAGATGCCCCCTTTGGATTTAGAAACCGTGAAAAACTTTAAAGCATTCTGCCACTGGGACAATGACACCTTGGTCCAACTTATTCACCCAGGTATCTGTTGGCAGCTGTCCATGCATCTGCAAAGTGGGGAAGCACCTTCACGAGGAACACTTTGAGCCCCTTAGCTTGCAGGTGGACTGCGACCCAAGCTTGAGGAAGGGGGGGTCAATACAGAAGTAGAAAAATAAAAGGAAAGCTTGAGATAAACAGGAAGAAAATGTTGTGGTCTATTCCTTGAACTTCTTCCAGCAAGTAACGTGGGTGCTTTTGCCCTTCCAGTAGGGTTTTTGACACTGGAATCATGAGTACATTTAAAGAGACATTGTCTATTAAAGGTCATTAGGGAACAGACTTCTTAGATGCAAGTTCAGCAGTCCAGTACTCTACCCAAAGGGTCCTACATGTGCACTGATAGGAGACTCATACAAGAGATAAGCTGGGAAGCCTCCAGCAGACAGTCACAAATGAAGCTTAATGCTACAACCACTTGCTCCACTATCCTATAAATTGAGGGATCAACCACAGCAGTGGTAAAAAAAAAAAAAAAAAATCTATTAAAGGAATTTTGACCAATCAGTCATGGTCTGTCAGAGTAAAGTTATAGCCAAGATAGGGTGAAGAGCAGGACCTGCCAGCTAGAATAGAGTCCTAAAGAAGGCTTCCAAACACCTACTGGTTGGGTCCTTAAAAACTGGTGCATCTTTCATCAAGATGGTAGCCCCATTGCTAAGGTGGGACACAAGACAGATTGGGGTTTCCAATCTCCATAGAGAAAAACGCTCTTAATTTGGACGCAAGTACTAGTAAGCTCCAATTCCACAGGGCCAAGCTCACAGGAAAAGACTGGAGGGTGTCATAATTAGACAAAATGTTCAGCAGCGAATGCCTTGGAATCTACAAAGACCATGAGGAATTGGACACAGAATCTGCGGGAGCAGATGTGGGAGTGAGCTTGTGGTCTCTGTGGTCAGAATCTGCAAATAACTGGGTGATTCGGGCCATAAAGTCTTGCACGACTGTAGTAAAAACCTCAGGTGAAAGGAAAGAGGAAGTGGCCACACCCAATACATCTAAAGGCTCTTTGCATGCTGAATAGCAGCATTGTGATGCTTCATCAAAACTGTATAGTAGGAACAAAAATTTGGAGCCTGCAACGTTCCACCCAGCGCATGACATCAGCACTTAAGCCGGCCATAGATGGATCAAATCTCAGTCGCTTCAGCAGAGAATAGCCGAGATTTGACCCATCTATGGGCAGGATAACTGACAGGTTGCAGGAAAGAAAACCGAAAAATATATGGCCTGCATTAGTCCGAAATCATTATCCCCTTATGCGGGAAACCTGGCAGGAAAGCTGGGAATTTTAAAGACGCCTAGCCACCAATGTAAATGAGGTAGACCCTGGTGCTCGGCATTACCAACTTGCTCACATAGCTAGTCTTCAGAGGCTCACTTGCGGTTATTGATCTTGAAAGTGCTCCACAACCAACTTTTACCAGAACAGAAAAAAAAAGAACACAGAGGGGCGCCAGACTAAGTGCAGTATGAGACAGTTCCGTTCATAAAAATAAAGCAAATTGAGAACTCACTATAAAGGTGAGATTAAGCATGTAAAATCATTAGGAAGGTGATCTGGCTGATGGAATATTATCCAAGTCCAAACAGGATCTTTTTACGGAGTGACATCTCCTCTGTATCATCCCTTCCGGTACCACGTCATCTTTGCGTTACACACTGGTTCCAGCGGCGTTTGGCCACATGCCGCTGCTCCTGTTTGGACTGGATAATATTCTATCAGCCGGATCACCCTGGGGACCTTCCCAATGATTTTACATGCCTAATCTCACCTGCTTCATAGCGAATTCCCAATTTGCTTTATTTTAATAAACGGAATTGTCTCATACTGCACTTAGTCTGGCGCCCCTGTGTTCTTTTTTTATACAGCTTACAGAGCTACAGCTTCACTCTGGAGGGTGCTGCCATTGGTGCCTACATACAGTTCAGTTCATAGACATGTGATAGACTTATATTGTTTTATATATTTTCTATTATATATTTGTAACAGAGTCTGGAAAGCACCCTATGCAGAACCAAGTGGTCAAAGGTCACTCGCAGGATATCCCTGCAATGTCCAGTCCAGAGGTTCAGTCATGGCACTTCAAAAGCCAGGCTAAAGGACAATGCCAGATAACTGTAATAGAAAACGTGCAAAAATATGTGCATTTATCTATTTTTAAAAGGTGAACTTAGCCCAAGTGGAAAAGGTGCCCACCAAAATGGGAATTTTTTATACTCACTGTAAAATTCCTCTCTCTCAGTTCATTGACGGACACAGCTCTTCTGAATCTTGACCATGTCGTTTATAGAGTCACACACAAGAGTAGGACACTAGGCAGAAAAGAACACAGCACTGCCTATGAGCAGTCCCCTCTGGTATAAAAACCCTCTCTGCTATAGGCATCCATTTCGTAACAAAGCAGTGTCAGAAGTGTAAACTCCAATAGAGAGATGGGTGTTGTGTTTAACAATGAACTTAAAGAAAGGTATTTTACAGCAAATAACAAAAGGTTAAAAAAATGTTTTCCTCTTATGTTCATTAACCACTTTCCCACTGCCTTGTAGCAGAAATAATGCTACAGGGCGGCAGGGCTGCGCAAAGTCACGTATATATACATGATTTGCATTTCCGGATAGGGGACGTTGACTTAGGAAATGCCCTTCCAGGAGGGTTATCTCTTTGGTGCTACTTTGGATGACTTCCACAAGAAGACATGCTTTCTCCTGTGCAGAGAGATACAAAACAGCATGTCCATGCTGACAGGAGAGAGACCTGTGTTTACACACAGGTCTCTCCCTGTCAGC